TGCTGCTGCTGCTGCTGCTGCTGCAGTGAAGCGTTCGTTTGACGGTTTGCGCTGCATGCAGGAGCCATCTCACCCATCGGCAGCTACATGCAGCGTGGCTGAGGGGGGGATCGCTGCAGAAGCAGCTGCGGCAGCAGCAGCGAGCAGCAGCAGCAGCAGCAGCAGCAGCAGATCGTGCAGCAGGTGCAGCAGCACCCGAACGTAATCTCGTGTCTCGTGCAACTGCAGCAGCAAGAGAAGAAATTCTTATAATGCAGATAGCGCAGGTGCTTCTTAAGCCCATAAATAATTTTGCTGCTGTCTTTATTATTTGTCTTTGTTGTCTTTGTTTGTTTTATTTTGTATTTGCTGCTGTCTTTATTATTTGTCTTCGTCTTTGTTCATTTTTTCTTTGTTTATCTTTGTGTTTATATAATATAATTTTTCTATTATTATTATTGTTAGTATTATTATTATTATTATTATTATTAAAATTATATTATATTATAACAAATAATTTGTCTTTATATTATTATTAATAATTTATCTTCTCGTCTTCCTCTTTATTTTTTATTTTTGTTGTCTTGCCTTTCTTTTGATTGCTTTATTTTCTTGGTTTTGTTTTATTGTCTTTCTTTTTATTATATTATTTTATTGTGTGTAATAATAATGTGTTATTATTTTATTATTATTTTTTATTATTTATATAATAAATAAATATATATATATATTTTCTTGTCTTTGTTTTACTGTTGTATGTTCTGTCTTTGTCTTTATGCTTGTTTTAATGTCTTTGTGTTCATTTGATTATGTTTATTTAATTAAATTAATTGTATTAATTTAATTTAATTTATTTATATTTATTTAATTATATTTATTTAATCTAGTTATACTTAAATATATTTATTTATTTGTATTTATGTTTGATAGACTCCTCTATTGAACGATGCTGCTGCACTTCTCTCGCCATTGGTTTTGTATTGCCCTGACGTTAATATAATTATATTTATATAATTAAATTAATTATATTAATTTGATTGAGTTTAATTATATTTATTTAATTAAATTATATTATATTCATGCTCAGCTGACGCATCTGTTGAACGAAATGCTGCACTTCTCGCGTCATTGGCTGCACTTTGTCTACGAAGACGTCCTCCGTCCTAAGTGGCGAACCCTCTATAAAGAAATACCCAAGTAAACCATCAACAGCAGCAGCAGCAGCAGCTGCAGAAGCAGCAGCAGCAGCAGCGGCAGCTGTTAGAGTTGCACCAGCAGCAGCAACAGCAGCAGTTAGAGTTGCAGCAGCAGCAGCAGCAGCAGCAGTTAGATTTGCAACAGCAGCAGCAGCAGCAGTTAGAGTTGCAGCAGCAGCAGCATCAGTTTGGGTTGCAACAGCAGCAAGCATTTATATCTATATTGCTATCCGTTACTACCTGAGATGCTCTGATGCTCTAAGGGCGCCACTGCTGCTGCTTTTATGTGTTGCTGCTGTTGCTATGGGTTGCTGCTGCTGCTGCTACCCTCAGATGCCGCGACGTGGACGAGTTTCTTGAGCTTCTGTGGCAGTGCATTCAGCAGCAGCACGTAAGCTACCTTTAATCCCTCATGCTGCTGCTGTTGTTGTTGCTGCTGCTGCCGCTGCTGCCGATGTATTGCTTCCGATTGTGCTGCTGCTGCTTTGCTTTGCTATATCTGTGTTGCTTATACTTTTGCTGTTGTTGTGGCTGCTGCTGCTTCTCTTTTCATCGCTTCCCCTTTCGCTGCTACTGCTGGTGCTGCTGCTTCTGCTGCTGCTGCTGCTGCTTGTTTGCGTCTACGTGTGTTACTCCTGTTGCTGCTGCTGCTTGTACTGTTTGCATGCGTACTGCTGCTGTTGCTGCTAGTGTATCTTTTGCTTCTGCCTGAAAGGCGGACGCTATCTGCAGCACAGCAGCAGCAAATGAGACGCAGCAGGTGCTGCTGTTGCTGTTGCTTCTGTTTGTCTCTCTAGGATGGGCTGTTCCTCTACGGCGAAGAAGAAGCAGCAGCAGCAGCAGAAGCTGCTGCTGCTGGTGGAAGGGGCAGCATCAGCGTGCAGCTGCATGCACTCATTCAAGAAATACACGACACATGCTCCTCTATGGCATCTCGAGCGGTCCTGCTGCTGCTGTTGCTGCTGCTGCTGCTGCTGTTGCCGCTGCTGCTGTTGCTGTTGCTGTTGCAGTTGCTGCTGCTGGTGCTGCTGCTGTTGTTACTGCTGCATTTACTGTTGTTGCTGCTGTTGCTGCTGCTAATGCTGCTGTTGCTAATGGGATTACTACCGGCGGTGCTGCTGCTGCTATTACTGCTACTGCTACAACTACTGCTGCTGCTGTTTCTGCTGCACTTGCCTGATAGGCTAAGGGTGCAGCTGTTTATGTTGCGTCTGTTTTTAGGAGTTTCGGTTTGCTGCAGCAGCAGAGCAGCAACTTCGAGGGCCTAACGAAGATCTGCCCCCAGCTGAAGCTGCTGCCAGCAGCAGCAGCAGCAGCGGCAGCATGATCATGGTAGAAGAACAGCGACAGGTGTTTCGGCAGCAGGTGCAGCAGCTGCTGCTGCTGCTGGACTTAAAGCAGAGTGAAGTCCGAGCGGCAGCAGCTGCTGCTGCGCAGGCGACAACCAGCAGCAGCAGCAGCAGCAGCAGCAGAAGCCGCATGCATCTCGATCATTGCATGGCGCTAAGGTGAATATTATTTCTCCTCCTCGCGTCTTGTACTACCCTCTCGTGCTGCTCACTTTGTTCTGCTGGCAGCAACAGCAGCAGCAACAGCAACAGCAACAGCAACAGCACCAGCAGCAACAACAAAACCGGCTTCAGGACCGAACATAGATTTCTTTGTTTATTTTATTTATTTATTTATTTAATTTGTTTAATTTGTTTGTTTAAATGTTTGCAGGTCTCTCTGCTTGCGCTTAGACTTTAATGATTTCTATGAACACCAACGTCAAATGAAGGCAGCAGCAGCGCAGCAGAGGAGCGACAATTCTGCTGCACGCTTCCCCTCGCTGCTGCTGCAGCAGCAGCTCAGTGCTGCCAGCAGCAGCAGCAGCAGCAGCAATGGATGCGTGACAGACAAGAGAGCTGATGGCTTCATGTGCACGCCGCGTCTCTTCAGCAGCGAAGAGGCAGCAAATAGTTTCGCTGGGGGCCCTGTCTTCATCTCTAAGCTGCAGCAGCAGCTGCAGCAGCAGCAGCAACACCAGCAGCACCAGCAGCACTTCTCTGAAGACCTCACGCGGCCTCCTACTGCATGTGAAGCCTCGGGGCCTCCGTCGCCGCTGACCTAGGCTGGAGAAGCAGCAGCAGCAGCAGCAGCATCAACAAGAACAGCAGCACAAACAGCAGCAGCACAAGCAGCAGCTGCATAAGAAGCAAGCGCAACACAAGCAGACCTGTTCTGTTGAGGGTTTTTCTTTTATCTCCTTTTGCCTTTCTCTGTTTCATATATATTTACGTATTAATACTTAAATATATAATATATATTTGTTATATTTACTTTGTTGTTCGGTAAGATAGAACAAGCAATATATATATATATATATATATATATATATACATATATATCTTGTGTAACAAAAGGAGAGCGAAGGGCGCCAACTCAGTGCTAAGTACTAATTACTAAGGCAGCAAACCGGGATGAAACGACCCATAAAAAGGCAGCAGCAGCAGCAGCAGCAGCGACGGTTGTTGTCGTTGGCGCTACAGTTGGTGCTACAGTTACTGCTGCAGTTGCTGCTGTGCAGTTGTGCTGCTGCAGCTGCTGCGGCAACTGATTCGTAGGGCAACTGCTTTAAATAACTACACAGTGTCTGTAACAGCACTGTAGGAGCAGCAGCAGCAGCAGCAACAACAGCAGCTTTGTAACAGCAGCAGCTGCTGCTGCAGCAACAAAAACAACAGGAGTGTAGGAGCCTCAGCGGTTTCCGTGGCTTGAACTGCAGCAGAACGAGAGCATGTGCTGCAGCTGCTTGTTCTGTCTTTGTTCAGCAGCAGCAGCAAGCAGCCTGAAGCTTCAGCTGTATAGGCTGGAGTGCTGTTGCAGCTGCTTGTTGCTTCTTGTTTTGTTGCTGCACAAACAGCTGCTGATTTCTTGCTGCTAGCAGCAGCGCCCGCCCCCCTGTCTGTCTCTCTGAAGTGTATGTATGTTTGCCCGTAATTAAGTATTAATGAGTGGATTTCTTTGCTTATTTTAATTTTAAATTCATTTTTAACATCTACTTTATTTCGTTTATTCTTCTTGCTGCTGCTTTCTATGCCCTTGTTGCTGTTGCTGCTGCTGCTGCCGCCACCACCGACCGCAGCTCGAGGGCTGTGCTGCTGCTCTCCGGTCTCTTCCTCTAGGCAGTTTGTGAGTAGATATTTATTATTTATTTATTTTAATATAATAATAATAATTAAATTATTCTTTTTTCATAAATTTCAATATGGTTAAAAGGCATGCAGGAGCAGCAGCAGCGCGTATAGACCCCTGCCCGAGGCGGCAAAGGGAGGGCCTCAGCAGCAAACCCTGCTGCTGTTAAAAGCGTTACTCATTGTCTTGCTGCTGATGCAGCAGCAGCAGCAGCAACACCAGCAACTGCAGCAGCAACAGAAGCGCCAGCGCTAACTTGCGTGCCCGTAGGCTGCTGGCGTCGCCCTTTACCTGCGACAGCACCCTCCTCAGCAGCAATATCAACAGCAGCAGCAGAAACAGCAGCAGCACCACAAAAGGCTTGCTGCGGAGATGCTGCTGCTGCTGTCGTCTGTGTCATCTCTTGAAGCCTGCTCAGACATTTTGCTGCGGCAACGCAGATGGAGCCGCCGTGGGCCCCAGGTGGGCCTCCTGGACCTCGTGCTGCAGCAGCAACAGCAGCAGCAGAAGCAGCAGCAGCAGCAGCAGCAGCAGCAGTAGCAGGTGCTGCTTCGCGCTCTTACCTCGACAGCAGCGATGAGCAGGAACAGCAACTTGCTGCTGCAGTGCAGCAAGTAGAGAGGCCCCTCCCGGTAGACTGCGGCATCTCCACGCCCAGCAGCACACCCCGTACAGAGCGCCGCAGCAGTGCGGGGTTTTCTGCTGTTGCTGTTGCTGCTGCTGCTGCTGCTGCTGAGGAGCAGGACAGTGCGGACGCAGTTGCGATACCAGGCGACCTTCCTCACCTTCCGCTCCCTGCGACTCTTCTGCAGCAGCAGCAGCAACAGCAGCAGCAGCAACGGCAGCAGCAGCAGCAGCAGCCCAAACTTGACTTAATTCTGGTGCAGCCGCCACGACTTGAAGGGGGAGCGGCAACAGCAGCAGCTGCTGCTGCTGCTGTGGGGAGCCGTACAAACGTGAAAGATGCAGCAGCAGCAGCGCCACATGACGCTGCAGCGGCTGCTGCAGCAGCAGCAGCAGCAGCTGCTGCTGCTGCTGCTACAGGAGCAGCAGGTGGTGCAGGGGACTTGAAGGAGCAAATGGCGCTGCTGCAGGTTGCAGCAGCAGCAAAAGATGCAGCACTCAACTTTGTAAGAAAAACGATGCATAGGCAGCAAATAGCAGCAGGAGACAGCGGCACACGCAGGCAGACACAGCAGCAGCAGCAGGAACAACAACAGCAGCAGCAGAAGCAGCAAGGGGAGAGGCATAGAGAGACAGAGGTAGCGGCAAACCTATGCGGCTGCTGAACGCAGTCAGAAGCAAAGAGCTGCACAGGGCAGAGGCCTAGGGTTTAGGGTTTAGGGTTTAGGGTTTAGGGTTTATGTCTGCTTTTTCTGCTTCTTAGGAGAGAGAGCAACGGCAGCAGCTGCAGCTGGAGCTGGCGGAGACGCGGAGGGATCTACTGCTGCTGCAGCAGCAGCAAGAGCAGCAGCAGCAGCAGCAGCAGTTTCTGCTGCCGCATCTAGGCGTTGGCGTAGACATGCAGCAGACGCAAACCCACAGGCTGCAGCAGCAGCTGCTGCAGAAAGAGCAGCAGCTGCGAGGCCTTGCTGCTGCACTCGACAGCTTCAGGGTGCAAAGCAGAGCAGCAGCAGCAGCACTGCAGCAGCATCTGCAGCAGGCATTTGAACGCGTAGCCGAGGTGAGCTGCTGCAGCTGCCGTTGGTGCTGTGCTGCGTGTTCTTGCTGAAACGGCAGTGGGGCGTGCTGCAGCAGCAGGGAGAGAGCTGGGATGGCTGCTGCTGCTGACTCAGCTTGCTGATTACCGCTGCTGCGTTTTGCTGCTGCTGCTGTGTTTCACTGCTGCAGGCGGAAGCGGAAGCAACGGAGAGGCAGCGACAGACGCAGGTGCTGCAGCAGCAGACCGCAGCATTGGAGCAGCAACTCGTGGAACTGCAGCAGAAGCATGCTGCTGCTACCGAGATGCGTGATGCCTTGCAGCAGTTGCTGCAGCAGCAGCAGCAGAGCAACGCGCGGCTGCAGCAGCAGCTATCGCTGCAGCAGCGCATTAGCCATGAGGTGCAGCAGCAAATGGAGCAGCAGCAGCAACGAGTTGACCTGTTGCAGCAGCGAAATGAAGAGCTTCAGGAGGAAGCAGCAGAGTATCGACGCAACGCCGCGGCTGCTGCAGCTGTGGGGCCCGCAGCAGTTGCTGCTGCTGCAGGGGGAGGGGGAGAGTCAGAAGGCATTGCAGCTTTGCTGCTGCTGGAGCGGCAGCTGGCAGCTGAGCCATACGAGCAGCAGCTGCAGCAGCTGCACCAAGAGACACAGCAGCAGCGTCATGAGCTGCAGCAGACCAAAGCTGAGCTGCAGCAAGCTCAGCAGCAGATTCAAATGTACGAGCAGCAGCAGCAACAGCAGCAGCAAAAGCATGAAGAGCAGCAGCTGCAGCAGGCTAACCTGGAGCAGCAGCTGGCGCAGCAGCAGCAAGAGCAACTGCAGCTGCTTGAGGAGAGGGATCGATTTGTTGCTGCTATTCGCCTGCTGCAGCAGCGCTGCGATGAGCAGCAGCACCTGCAGGAGGGTCAGAAGCAACAGCAACAGCAGCAGCAGCCTGATGAGGAGGAGCAGCAAGATGAACAGCAGCAGCAGCAGGTTGCAAGCGTGGAGACACTGCAGCAGCAAGTGAGCTCCCTTGTATCTGTCAACGCTCAGCTTTCGCAGTGGATTCGCCGTTTGCTGCAGCTCGTCCTGCAGCGGCTGCAGCACGACAGCAGCGGCAGCAGCAGCGGGGGCGAAGACAACAGCAACAGCAGAAACTCGCTGCAGCAGTCTGCAGCAACCGAAGACGCAGAGCTGCGCGAGAACCTCAACGAGCTGTTGTGCTCCTTGCAGCAGCAGCCACTTAATGAAGAACTGAAGCTAAACTTGTCGTCCTACCTGGAGCAGCTGCAGCAGCAGCAGCAACAACAACAACAGCAGCAGAAACAGCAGCAGCAGCTACTGCAGCGGGCGGCAAGGCGCCAGAGAGCTCGGTCCACTTCACCGGGCCGCGAAGCAATGGCGAGGAACAGCAGCATCAGCAGCAACAGCAGCAGCAAGCGCCGCAGCAGGAGCAGCAGCAGCAGCAACAGCAGCAGCAGCAGCACGCTCGATGGAGGCGTGGCGATCGACAGTGTCAGCACTGCGAAGCAGCAGCAAGAGGCGCTGCTGCTCTGGGAGAGACAGGTGCAGCGAAGGAGACAATTATCAGCAGCGCTCGAAGCTGGAGACCTCGAGTCATTGAGTGAACCCCAGCAGCAGCAGCAGCAGCAGCAGCAAGAGCTGCACCTGCAGCAGGCCCCACAGGTCGCTACAGTCGGCGTGCAGACCGAGGATATGCACAACGAAGAACAGCAACGGCAGCAGCATGAGCTTCAGCAGCTGCAGCAGGAGCTTGGGCAGCTGCAGCAGCAGCTGCAGCACCTGAAACAACTGCAGCACGAATGGCAGCAAAAGGAGCAGCAGTTGCAGAAGGCACAACAAGAGCTCAGCAAGGCTAAGGTGATGCACTGTCTTACTGCTGTTGCTGCTGCTGCTGCTGCTGCTGTTGTTGTTGCTGTATCTGCTGTATTTGTTGCTGCTGTTGCTGCTTCCCTTGAAGCTTCGTCTGGACCGTGTGATTTGCTGCTGCTGCTGCTGCTGCTGCAGGAAGCAGAGAGGGAACGGGCAGAGTCAGCGCAGCGGGAGTTGGGCGCAGCACAAGTGCAGCTGCTGGAGACTCGAGAAGCCGAGCAGCAGCTGCAGCAGCAGAGGGAGAAGGAGCAAGAGCAGCACGAGCTGCAGCAGCAGGAGCTACAGCAGCTGCAGCGCCAACTCGAAGCAGCGGAAGAGGCACTGCAGCAGCAGAGGGAACATTATGAGGCGCTCCTTGCGGCACACAAGGACCGTGCAGCAGCAGAAGCAGCAGCAGCAGCAGCAGTAGTAGTACATCCGCAGCAGTCAGGTGAGCGGAATATGGTCTCTGTGGCTGTGCAGACAACGCAGCAGCAGCAGCAGCAGCAGCAGGAGACGCAGACAGAGTTGCAGCGTCTCATGGCCGATGCCATCACTTCGGAGACACAAACTGAGCTGTCGCTTCTGGAGCCGTTGCTGCAGCAGCAACTCATGCTGCAACAGCAGCAGCAGCAGCAGAAACCCAGTGCAGCAGCAGCAGCAGAAGGGGGGTCGACAAAGGCGAAGGCGCGTGAGGCGGAGACCCAAACGCCTTTGCAGCAGCAGCGCAGCGTGAAGATCCAGTGCAACAGAGACAAGACAACGGGAACAGCATCAGATACAGCAGCAGCGGCTGCTGCTGCTGCTAGTTCTTCTTTTGTCGAGACACTTGATGCAGAGACACAGGTGGATCCGGCATATCTGCTACAGGATGAGCAGCCACAGCAGCAGCCGCAGCAGCAACAGCAACAGCAACAGGATGCGGAGTCCTTAGCAGCAGTAGCTGTAGACAGCAAGAGAGGGGGAGATGCTTCTGCGCCCGTTTTCGGCCTTCATCGTGCAGATGGCAGCAGCAGCAGCAGCGGCAACCGCAGCAGCAGCAGCAGCAGCAGGAACAGCAGCACGGCGAGGCTTCGGGGTCGTAGCAGCGTTTCATGGGTGCAGCAAAGTGCGATCCCAACACGAAGGAGGCGTTCCTTGTCAGCAGCAGCAACGGCTGCTGCTGCTGCTGCGGCAGCTGCTGCTGCTGATGGAGACCGATGCTCTTGCCGCTGCTGCAGGAGGCGCCAGAGGCTGCACCGTTCTCTGCTGCATGCTGCTGGTGATGCTGCTGTAAGCGCTGTACAGAGAAGCTCTACCCGCACAAGAGCCCAGCAGCGAAACCGTCAGAGCAGCAGCAGACGCAACAGCAGCAGCAGCATCAGCGGCGATAGGCTGTATCTAAGTGGAGCCTTCACAGGTCGTGCAGGCCGGCGGCGCAAAGTAGTGCAGCAACAGAAGCAGCAGCAGCAGAAGCAGCAGAAGCAGCAGCGGCAGCAAACACCGGACAGCGACTCTTCCTGGACCATGAACTCCACTCCAAGCCGCTACGTGCGCAGGCTGCTGCAGCAGCAGCAGCAACAGCAGCAGCGGCAACATCAGCAACATAGGCATGAGGTGTCTGTACACCCCGTGGAGGAATTCGTTGATCTGCTGAAGGAAGTCGACGGCATCGCAGACCCTGCAGCGCCTCCTCCGCGCTTGCACCGTCAGCAGCAGCTGCAGCAACAGCAGCAGCAGCAGCAGCAAGAAACAGCTTCTGCGGTATCATTTATAGCAACCGCCCAGCGCAGCAGCCACCAACATCTGCAGTACGGGCACAGGAGCAGGGCAGCAAAACACAACTACAATGCAACTGCAGCACCAGACTGCGAGGGCGTGGAGACCATACAGCAGCAGCAGAAGCAACAGCAGCTTCTGCAGCTGCAGCAGGAGGCTGCCCTGGCTTTTGTTGCAGTGCTGGCAGCAACCGCTGCAGCCGGCGGCTGCCGGCTGCTTTGCTCCTCCTGTGGCGGTTTCTTCGCATGTCTGCATGCGGCGCATGCAGCAGCAGAAGAGGCAGCAGCCGTAAAAGGTGCAGCAGCGGACGCCGCCGCCGCCGCTGCTGCTGCTGCTGCTGAGAAGTTCGGCAAAGCAGCAGCTGCTGCAGACGAGTGCAGGGGCCTGACGTGGGAGAAGTCGCTGCTAAAGAAGCAGCAGCGGCTGCTGCTGCCTCGTTGGCTTCAGCCGTGCTGCTGCCCTTTGCATGCGCATGTTACCTACGTCCGCGTGCCTGCAGCAGGAGACGCAGCTGCGGCAGCAGCAGCAATTGCTGCTAATGCTGCTGCTGCACCTGGTTCTCCGCAAGCCCAGCAGCTGCGCAGCGGAGACCACGAAGCGCAGCGGTTGCTGCAGCAGGAGTTGCTGCTGGCCCGAAAACAGCAACAGGAGGCAGCAGAGCAGCTGCAGCAGCAGCACAAGAAGCTCACTGAAGCCGAGCAGCAGCTGCAGCACCTGCAGCAACTGCAGCAGCAACAACAAAAATCGGTGGCAGCTGCAGCACGCGCCAAGGCAGAGGCGTGCGCAGCAGCACGCAAGGGCCTCGCTGCTGCAGCTGCATGCAGAGAAGTGCTGGAGCAGCTGCGGTCTCAGTTTAGAGATCTTTTGCAGGGTTTGTCTCCTAGCGACCTGCAGCAACAGCTGCAGCAGCTGCTGCAGCTGCTGCACCAAAGCAGCAGCAAGCTGCACGAGCTTCCCTTGTTCCCTTCAGTGCTGCTGCCTGATCGCCGTCTTACTTCGTGGCTGCTGCAGCACGTGAGGACTTCAAAAGAATCTTATGTTGCTGATGTTTGCTGCTGCCTACCGTGCTACGTCTGCTGGTGCACTAGCTGCTGCATCTGCTGCTGCATCTGCTGCTGCTGCAATCTCCGTGGGTGCTTGGTGCAGGTCTGGCAGTGCGTCTACCTCTTCGCTGTGCGTCAGAAGCATGTCTCCCGGCTGCAGCTGCAAGACCAGCAGCAGCTGCTGCAGGCGTGGCAGAAGCAGCAGCTTCAGGAGCAGCGGCAGCAAATGGAGGCGCAGCAGCAACAGCTTCTGCAGGAGCAGCTGCAGCAGCAGCTGAAACGAGTGCAGCAGGAAACCCAGCAGCAATCCAAGACGCGCTACATCGACACAGCCCTGCTGCTGTTGCAGGCTGACAAGCAGCAGCTGCAGCAGCGGGAGCAATGGCTGCAGCAGCAGCACCAGGCTCTACAGCAGCAGATACAAGAGCGCGAGCTGCAGCTGCGCGATCAGGAAGAAGAGTTGCAGCAGCTGCGCGTGCAGCAACAGAAGCATGAGCAGCAGCAGCACATGTTACAGTCGGAGCTGCAGGAGCAGCAGAGAGACGCAGAAGAAACTATCTCCCGCCTATCGACTCGCCTGAGGGAACTTCTGGTTGGTTGCCGCGCCGCTGCTGCTGTTGTTGCTGCTGCTGCTGCCTCCGATGTTGTGTCTACTGAGACGTTCCTGTTCGCGGCTTCCATGCCGTCGCTCTGCTTATGTCTTGTGCTGCTGCTGCTCAGGCTGAACATGATTCTTCAAAGCAGCAGCAGCAGCAGCAGCAGCAGGAACAGCAGCAGCAGCTCCAAAGAGCAGAGCAGCAGCTGCGCCAAGAGCAGCGCAATCTGCAAGACGACCGGCAGCGCCTCCTGCTGCAGCAGCAGGAGCAGCAGCGTTTGCTGCAACAGGAGTATCGACAGCTTGATGAAGACAGGCTTTCGCTGCAGCAGCAGCAGCGCGAGTTTGACGCCCTGAGCGAGAAGCTGCAGCAGGAGCAGCAGGAGTTGCGAGAGCAGCAGCAGCTACTGCAACTGCAGCAGCAGGAAATGCAGCAGCAGCAGCTGCAGCTGCAAGAGCAACGGCACTTAACGGAGCGGCGCCACTCCGAAGTGCAGCAGAAGCGCGAGGAGATGGAGCTGCAGTCACAAAAGTTGCAGCAGCAGCAGCAGCACCTGCAACAGCAACAGCAAGAGCTGGAGGAACGAAGAAGGGGTCTGAATCAGCGCCAAGAGGAGCTGCAGCAGCAGCAGCAGGACCTGCAGCAGCAGCAGCGAGTAGCCAGGGAAGAGCGCCACCGAGTAGAGAGTCAGCAGCGTCGCATTGCTGCACAGCTGCAGCAGCAGCAACGGGAGGCAGAACGCCTTGTGCGCGAGAGAGAGGTACAGCAGCAACAGCAGCAGCTGCAGGAGCAGCTTCTGAAGCAGCAGCAAGACCACTTGGCTCGGCAGCAACAGCGGCTGGTGGAGAGTGAGAAAGAACTCGCCGAAAAGCAGCTGCTGCAGCAGCAAGAGTTTCAGCAGCAGCAGCTGCTGCTGCAGCAGCAGCTTGAAGAGCTGCAGATGCAACAGCAGCGGCTTTCTGATCAAGAGGAAGCCGCCGTGAATCTCCGACGCGAGCTGGAGCAGCAGCAGCGCCGCATAAGGCAGCAGCAGGAGCAGCAACAGCAGCAGCAGGAGCACAATGCAGACAGCGACGTGCCCCAAGCCATGCAGGAGCTGCAGCAGGAGGTCGGCTCGCAGCAGCAGCACATTCAGGTATGGATTTGTCTCCTTGTACTAACTGCTGCACCGCATGCACCCCGTGGTAGCTACGTAGTCACTTTCTCCTGTCTCTGCCGCTACTGTTGCTGCTGCTGCTGTTGCTGTTGCTGCATGCGCCAGGGCCTTTGCTCCTGTTTTGTGTTATCCTCAGGAGCTCTACGGGCAGTTAATGAAACTGCAGCAGGCTAACGCCGAGCTGCAGCAGAAGCTACTGGATGCTCAGCAGCAGCAGCAAGATGACAGGAGCAGCTGCCTGCAGCAGAAAGAGCAGCTGCAGCTGCTGCGGCAGCAACTGGAGCAACAACAGCAGCAAGCAGCACAAAAAATCGCGCAAGCGCAGCGCGACCGTGAGAAACTGCAGCAGCAACAGCAGCAGCAGCAGCGGGAGCACGCAGCGGAATTGCAGCAGCTACGGCAGCACTCGGAGGACCTCCAAAAGAAACAGAAGCAGCAAGAGCGTGAAGGAGATGCACTAAGGGAGCAGCTGCAGCGCCAGCAGCTGCAGCAGAAACAGTACGAAGAGCAGACGCTGCAGCAGCGGCGGCAGCTTGAAGCGGAGCTGCAGCAGCAGGTCTCCAGAGCAATGCAGTTGCAGCTGCAGCTCACCGAATTGCAGCAACAGCTACAGGCGCTAGAGGAGCAGCACGAGCAGCAGACGCAGCAGCAGATGCAGCAACAGCCGCAGCACAGCAAGAATGAAAGCGAGCAGCAGCAGCTTCTGCAGCAGCGCATGAACGCTTTGCTGAGGCATGCGGATCGGACCCTTAGTTGCTGCGCGCTGCTAGATAGTCAACTGCAGCAACTCCAGCAGGTAGAGCGTATGCAGCAGCAGCAGCAGCATCAGCAGCAGCAGCAGCCAAGTGACCCCTCCAGCTCAACCGCTGCTGCTGTTTTCAAGACGTTGCAGCAGGTCCACCAGCTGCAACAGCAGCTGCTGCTGCTGCAGCGTCTTATGAGGGAGACGCAAGAGGAAGAAGCGGCGTGTTCAGCGGAAAGCAGTAGCAACAGCGGCAGCCAGGACAGCAGCAACAGCAGCAGCAGCAAAGACAGAAGCAGCACCAGCTTCGACCCATTCACTCCCCAGCAGGAGACACTGGGAGAGCCCGATCTCATCTACGGTTCTTCCTCTGCCACAGATGCTTCTTGCACGCAGAAGCAGCAGCAGCAGCACCACCACCACCACCACCAGAAACCAGGAGAGCAGGGTCGCCAGCAGTTGCTGCAGCGCCAGCTTACAAGGCTTCGTAAGGAGCTGCAGATAAAAACCCATGAGCTGCAGCAGCAGACACAGGAGCTTTCGTTAGTCCGCCTGCAGCTGCAGGAGCTGCAGCAGCAGCAGCGGCTGCAGCAGGAGCAGCAGCAACGGCAAGCAGACGAAGTGGACTCGAAGCAGGCACTTTTAGAAGAAGTGGCGGCTTTGAGAAAAATGCAGCAGATTCTGCAGCAATCCATACAGCAGCAAGCAGCAGAACTGCAGCAGCGAGAGAAGCAACTCTCGTTTCAGCAGCAACAGCTCGAGGCAGCACAGGCCGAGCTGAAACTGCAGCAGGGGACACTGGAACAAAAGCGGCAGCAACTGCTGCTGCAGCGAGTTGCCCAGGAGCAAACGGCACACGAACAGGAGCAGCAGCAGCGGCGTCTGGAGAAACATAGGTTGCTGCTGCTGCAGCAGGCATCGAAGTTGCAGCAGCAGCAGCAGTATGAGCAGGTCTCACCAAATTTTTCAAAGAATGCTGCACGGGCTCAGCAGCAAACCCTGTTTTCGGGAGAGGCCCTGCAGCAGCAACAAAAGTATATGCAGCAACACAAGGCGGAGGGCTTTGCTGGTGGCGAAGGGGCGACTGAGGCACAGCAGCAGCAACAGGAGCTTCTGCTGGAGCAACTCGAGGAGCATGTGGCAGCTGCTGAAGAGGTGCAGCATCAGCATGCAGGGGAGTTGCAGCAGCAGCATGAAGATCAACATGAGCTTCTTCGGCAGAGTCTCGCGATGCAGCGAGACCTTCTGCAGACGGTGTACGCACATCTGCGAGAGGAGCAGCGCATGCTGCAGCAGCAGGAGCAGCAGCAACAGCAGCAAGAGTCCGACAGTCGCGTGGCTCAGCTTAGCGAGTTTGTCCTGATGACCGTCAGAGGATATGCGCGCTTCTTCAGTTTCCACTGCAGTGGGGACCTTAGCAGCAGCAACAGCAGCAGCAGCAGCAACAACAGCTACGAGGTGAGCAGCAGCACGAGCGACCTTTTTGTCAGCGGCAAAGCCCTCTCTGGCTCTTCTCTTTCGCACAGGCATACTTCCGATCAAGAGGAAGACGCGGAGTCCGCACTGGGGAGTGCAATCTGCCCTGTAGCGCCGACGGTGCAGCAGCTGCTGGATGCTCTGGCGCTTCGGGATCATCCCGGTGTACACTCGCTGCAGCAGCAAGAGCAGCAGGAGGAGCAGCAACAGCTGCAGCACGATGGGCAGCAGCAGCAGGACAGTGCGTCAAGCCCGCTGTGCCTGTCCGTCAGTGGCATCTCTCTAAACGCACTGCAGCAGCAAGACATCGCCTTCTTAGAAGCCTTTGTTGCTGGCCTACACCGGCTAGTGCTGCGCTGCGCCGTTGCTGCTCGGCGCGCACAGAAAAAGACACCGTCTTTGGCAGATGCAGCAGCAGATGTAGCAGGTGCAGCAGATGCAAGTACGGCACCTAGACCAGAACAGGAAACGGTGTCGGCAGCAGCAGCAGCAGCATCAGAGCGTGTGCTGCAACAAATGGTTCCGTGCAACGACCATTCCCCTTCGAGTCTCAGCGGAACGGATACCGGTGCAGCAGCAAGTACAGCAACAGCAGCAGCAGGGGTTACCGACAATGCTGCGGTGGATTTGCAGCAGCCTCAAAGCGACCCTACGGGTGGGAAGGACTCAGAAAAACGCCAGCGAAACTCTGCAGCTGCATTGCATGCGGAGGATGGCAGGTGGTGTTCGCCCTCTGCTTCTCCATCTTTGGCTCATCATAGAAGCAGCAGCAGCCAGCATAGTATTAGGAGCAATAAGAACTCATGGAGGCGCAGCAGCAGCAGCAGCAGCAGCAGCAGCGGCGGCAGCAACACAAGCGCGCGCACTTACCCGATGCTGCATCACCATCCGCCGCAGCAGCAACTGCTGCCGCAGAGTCCAGCACCGCACTGTGATGACGCATGCGCTGCAGCAGCAGAAGCAGCAGCATCAGATGGCTCATCAGAAGCAGAAAACAAACCCGCTGTAGGCGTAGAAGCAGCAGCAATGATAACTGCAGAAGAAGTTTTTGCGGAAACTGCGCAGAATCCCGCACGATCAATAGACGACAAGCAGCAACAGCGAAGGGGACGGCAGAGACACCATCGGAGGCACGAGCTGCTGCTGCAGCAACCCGGGAAAGCTGCGGATACAGCAGTGCCTGCTGCTGTCACAGGCCTTCCCCAGCGGGAGACGCCGTCCTTCCCCCCAGTGTGTGGCAGAAGGGGCAATCACCGCAGTAGCAGCAGCGGCAGGGGGAGCAGCAGCAGTGACACAGCAACTGAAGAGCTGGAGCGTCTGCCTGAGAGGAGACGCGCAGCAGCAGAAGGGGAAGCACGTGCAGCAGCAGCAGCAGCAGGTGAAGTGTCACCTTCGAGCCGATTAAGGGTCTCAACAGGCAGCGGAGACAGAGTGTTTCTCTTCGAAATGGGGCCTTCGCCTCCTGCAGCATCGGAGGCCACAGAAGACGACTCGGACTTCACGCTTTCTGGCCTGTCCAGTGTCACTGTATCACATTGTTCTTCAGCAGGAGATCCGCTGCAGTCTCACCAGGGGGAAAACTAGTTCGTCACTATTAACACTTAAACTATTAAGTGAAGCCATATAAACTGAGGCACTGAGACAAGCGAAATCTTCTGGCCCAGCAGTTATGCATCGGAACCGCCGAAAGAACTCACGGCTGCACCTACGGGCTATGGAACGTGCGCCCACTTTTTTCACTTGATTATTTGCCTATATAATAGCATTGTTTGATAATATATATATACGCCAATATACGCATATATATGTATCTATACGTATCTATATAATATATATATATATATATATATATATATATATAGATGTACTAAAGGGGCTACTTCTCTTGGCTTGTTTCCCAAGTACTTGAGAGGCTGTTCATCTCATTGCGTATTCTTTGTCTTATTTTTGACGGGCTTGTCGAATGTAATGAAGAATTTGAGACCCAATTCCTTAAGAGGTTCCTTTTGTTTCCTTGGACGAATGAAGCTGAAGCCGCACTCCCACAGTTCTGCAGGCAAGAAAGATTAACTGTTGTTGATGCCTGCCCCTGAGAAGAGCAGTCCTTAGGCTTAACACAAATACAGATAGACAAATCGATTATAACGAACAGTGTACTGCGAGGTTTTTCTGGACGCCCACAGCTCCATACGCTATGCATGTACTGGTATCCACAGATTTCCTTTTCTTGTCGTAGGCGGTCGTGCATGTTGAGTGACTTTCGGGTACTATACTAGTTTACTTTTGTTAAGCGAACTGAAGGACCGGCATCTGTCGGTTGTTCTAACATCTGCTGTAGTTGAGACCGAAGAGCTGCAACAACCTCTGCGTCGGCCAATGCATGCGCCATAGGTAGTCGCATTATGTACACAGAGTCCACGGTTCAAGAGCTTTTGCCTTTCTAGCTCTCTAAAATTCCGCCTGAATTTTGCTAGACGGAGTTTGAACGAGGGTGCAACTTGTGTCAAATCAATTGGAACAGTGCAATGCCTTCCTGAAGACTAGTTCTAAGTGCAATGCATTCCTGAAGAGTTGTCCTGCAGAAATGCATCACTCCAAAACACTCCACCACATACGTACTCACGCATACAATAGGTAGGACGTGCTTCTGCACCTGCATCAGAATAGGTGTTGGTATAGTTCCGGCGCATGCACAAGTGCAAAAACATACATAAACATCGACATCCTCATTCACGCCAACCGTGCCGATGCCAGTACGAATGCGCCTTAGCATCATACACCCAGAAATGGCCTGCACACTCATACCTGGGCATCTCCGTCAACACAAAAAGCCTTCACATGTTTGCGTACTAGTGAACAGCAACTTGCCGGGTGACAGACTAATTCACCTGCGTGTATATGCTTAAGTAATATGCGAGTTCTGCTGTTTCTCTGGTGCAATGAAGTGCTCGTAGACGACTAGAAGAATGAAATTCCGCCGGTTTTACTGAAAAGGCATGATATAAAGTCTGGTTTTTAGTACGATGCATTCTGTCCCGCTTGTCGGCATTCGTCTGGTATACGAGTGTTCAGCTGGTGCCTTCGTCTGCCCATCACCTTAATAGCCACTTACGTACCTTCACTGCGACTCAGAAAGACAAAGGAAACGGAACAGGCAATCGTTAAGCGCTTCTTGCCAAGCGCTCAACGACTGCACCGAGGCCACGGGGAATTTCCACCCTCCAAAAAAGCAATGCAGACTATGTATGAGATGCTGCGTGCTTTGTCCTGCTGCTGCTTCTACTTTTGCGTGCTCGCGCTCGCATCCCTTCCACTTGGCAATTTTTTCGCTCTTCTGCGCTGAGCTGCAAAGGCCTTCTGACTGGGCTCTGTGCAGTGGTGCTAGGGTGCTAATGAAAGTGGTTTCAACTAAGTAATGCCCGTGAGGACATTCTTCTACAGCAGAGAAGCAGAAGCCACCTCTAATAACATGATGCAGAGGAAATGTATCTGCTGATGATGAGCGTGAAGAAATTCTTCTACGACAGATGACCACAAACTACCTCTGATAACGAGATCCAAAGCAGCACAGTTTAGCCGCTCCTTCAAGAAAGTTGGCTGTGTATGGTGAGCGCCTCGCGCACACAACATAGAGACATCTAAAGAGATGCCTCTGAGGACGCTATAGAAAAGATGAGGATCACTCAGTGCTCACAAACTGATGCAATGGAAAAGATATATGGTCTGGAACTGAACTTACGGTCAAATGGCACAACAGCCCCCGTGGTCCGGTAACGATAACCTAGAACCACCACCCTGCGAGGGTTTACAAGCGTGCAAACCAAGACAGAAGAGGACATGTAGTTCATGCAGGGCAAGACAATCACATTCCACATCAGAGCAAATTACAATGGATTCAATCAAGTTGCGCACGGGGAGTAATGGCAAGAGAAGAGAGGTGCAGCATAACAGCAACCACTGATCTACAGAGAGAGAGCAAAAGCATGTTTGTCAAGCCTGCATGCACAGCAAATGTCCCACGTTATCCCACAGGCACAATATCTGCTATGGTATTCAACGACGGAATCCATTGACAAATTGTAACTAAGCAGAGGGCAAAACATCGGGAGAATGTGCGCAAGTGTACTATGCGAACAAGAAGAGCAGGCAAGCAAAACTGCAAAGTCCTAGCACGCCATTCTTACTGAACAACCTCTGTACACAAGTGATAGCGTGAAGAACCGACGTGTGTTCATGCAAGCCTGCTCGCACTGATAGTGCATCCCGTGAGCCAGCGAGCATCTGAAGAGATGCTGCCTATACAGAGAGGGCGCCACAGAAAAGAAAGGCACGCAACCCAAGGGAAGCGTGCGGAAATCGAGCTAGCTGCTCGCTGGCCAACAAGCCAGTTAGGTGCTCTGCACCTTTTTCCCACATTTCCGTGCTATCTTCCAGCACGCAATAATACAAGTGCAGCAAAAGATGGCAAGAACGAAGCTGAGGGGCAGCGCAGCACAGAGAGCAGCAGCGACTCCCTGCTGTATATATGCTGCTTCTATTCTACAGGAGGCAACAGCTGCATTCGCAATGCAATAGCGCGCTTGTACTTTTGTCATATTTTGGATGCTACGCATTAACTGTGCAGCTTGCGCCCTTGTGTGGGCCATGTTTCCTTCGTGTCTGCTAAAATGAAATTGGTCAAAATGACACTCCTCTGCGCAACTGATGTCCCGCCGGCTTATAAGAATGAGGCCACGTTCTACATATCCACAGAACAGGCCCCAATACAGCAACGTGCGGAGTCGCCTCAACACGCTCTCACCGAAAACAGCGCTGGTTCCTGCCTTGAGGACGCAGAGCAAATCTTCACTTGAAAACGGAAAAGACATGGAAAAATCGTCTTCGGTGCTTTCTCGAGAAACCCTTGAAGTATCGGACCGAGACGGGGGAGGAACTCTCCTGCGTTTCCGCGCACTTCTTGTGCTTTGTTTTCCCGCTGAGCCACTGGGGAGGCTGTAACTTCCCTCAGTAACCTTAGTTTCGAAGGTTACCCCTGTTACATCCTTCGCAAAGACGCTTAGACCGGAAATTATGGCATTGAACCTCGCAGTCTGAACGTTGAGCAGGAAGTTGTTCACCGCATGGCGCTCGCCTGCTGCAAGTGTCTCAGATGAAAAAGCAGGCGGCGAAGACAATGCAGGCCTTTGAAATGCAGGTACACCCAAATCTGAAGAAGCGGGTGGTAAGTCCTGTTTTCCAGAAGCGGCTTCTTCAGGAAGCTGCGCATCACTGGAAGAGGAAGAGAACGGCTCTTTGGCTTCAAGTCGATAAGGAGGCGGGATATCAAACCCTGCATGGGCGAAGTAGTAGTTCAGCATCAAGTTAAATGTAGGAGAGGCATCTGCTGCGTTGTTTTGCGCCTCTGCTCGAACATTCAACACCAGTAAAGAAGACCCCTTTATCAGGGTGAAAACGAGCAGGCCGATGTGCAGCACGTTACCTATGATGGCGAGCACAGCTTTATACCTCTTTGGGTGTGCATGCGTCGAATAGGTAAAATACGGGAAGATCAGTCCGAGCGCAGAATTCAGAATGCAGAGGATTACTCCAACACGGCACATGAAAAAGAGGCAGCAAATCCCAACGCTTAGCGATAAAAAGCCCATCGCAATGGGCAGCCAGCATAAATACGCGCAGCTGGGTCCAAGGTAGTCTGGCCGCAGACTGTATGACTCCCTTAAATGAAGTACCATTGTAGGCATATATATGTGAGCGCCCTTCTTCTAACAACAGGAGTCAAAAACGGTGTGTCGAGCAAGCCCAGAAAGCCGGCCAGCGTCTCTCTATCCAGCTGTCATGTAGCTAAGCAAAAATGAAAACTTTTGAAATAAAAAACAGGTGTCTCAGAACTCTTCGACGTCGACAGTGTGCATATCGGGCATGTTATTCTGACGCCACCACCCAGTGCGCAAGTAGTGATGAAACCTTTCGAAGGGAGAAAACTCTATGCCTACAATGAAAAAGGCATTCTGTTGGCACTTTGTCTGTAAGACAAATGCTTTTTTGAACAAGCCCTGAGCAGCAAGCACTGCTGCGGATAGGACAGACGTGAGTGGTGTTCGCCGTGGGAGTAGTACTGCTCCTATGTGGCATATTCTGCCACTCTCAAACCTACAGAAAACATTTAACCAGCCTTGTTCTTTTACTTTTAACTTTTAAGTAGAACTTTACTCAGGTTTTGCATGAGTGTGGGTCACCAACAAGAGAAGGCTTGTCGCGAAACCACGTATTCCGCACAATGAAATGAACTTAAGCAGGGCAGGAGCCACACAAACCTGACCAGGAAGGCACGGAAGATACGGGATCATATTGATGTGCAATTGAAAATTGGAAGATTTCTAGAGTCCCCACAACTTGGGCCTCCTTAGAAACTGGCGGAGAGAGATTCGATGAGCACTTGCAGCTTCAGAAAGGCAAGGCACCCAGCACTGCCTCTATGCAATACTAGGATAGTTACAGCTCAGGCAAATTTTGGTCGCCTGTACTTCGATAAATGCAAGAAGAGTGAAACGAGGATTCTAGTTATTAGCAGAGGAACGTCGTGAACTGCAATCGAGTTAAAGCCTTGGGATTATAAGTGTTTCTGTAGACCAGCTGATATTTATGCACACCAGCTGCTCTCCCCTCCAATCTCTCGGCATCCTGAACGCAGCGGCCGTCGGAGAGCAGACGCCTTTTTCCAGTTGCAGTGCTCTTTGCTTCAGCTCCTGCTGCTGGGCAACCCTGCTTTCAAGCACAACCGAGCCCGCTCTGTTGCTTGCAACTACACTAAAGGACAATTGATATACGTTTTATTGGCCCTCAGCAGCCAGCCTGCATGCAAGCATGTAGAAATCCACATACCAACTTCGAGAGACTGTGCGACAGATGGGCACACCTGCAGAAGAGCTGATATACCCCCGTTTCATCAAAAAAAGTGAGTGCACTGTTCCTGTCCCGATTTCGTCACTACCGAAGTGGTGCCTACATCCAAGAGAAGATGCTTGCAGCTCTCGACCCCAGAAAGCTTCCTTGTGCCTCTGAAAATCGAACGGGGAGGCAAGGGAGCAAAACGTTGTTTTCCTTAGTCCCCTGGGGCTGTAGATGTGGGGCTGCTGGCGTTTAACTGCTCAGCAAGAGGCCAGCTAGAAAGAAGGGAATGCTATTCTCACTCTCGATATATCTATCAATAAACGTGGGCATTTCAGGCAAACCTGGTCCCGATCGGACCTGGTCCTGGTTGGAGCAGGCCACCCCGGGCGTTAGAAAAATCTAGGTGTAGGCAGGGGCTGGAGTCAGTCGAGTATACAAAAGCATCAAACATGCAACTTTGTGCAGTCCAAACAATCTGCCGGTTGTTAGCTACTAACTACGCAAGTAGAAAGATGCCAATATTGTTGAAGCATCTAAAAAAGGCAGATAAATGGCGGCGCATTGGCCACAGAAGAACCCTAATGACGCAGCAAAGCACGTCGCCCCTTATGCATTCATGAGAATCCTTTTCCCACAGGTACGTCTCCGATTAGCGAACCCCATGTGTAGTGGGGTCCCGCGCAGAGGGACCATTTACGGTTTATGGTTTAGACGGGCGTGGCGGGAGAGTGGAATGCCACTCTCTGCATCCTCTTGTTGTCTTTCCTGATGAACTTGATGGAGTCCGAAAGGCACTTTATGGCGGCAAAAAATAAAGCGAGGGATACAACGAGTGCTATGCACATTGAAGTTGTGGCTGCAGAATCAAGATTCTGCTCTGCGATCCTGCAGGTGGTTACGGTGGCGAGAAACAAGCACGCTTCTGCATGTGCAGGAGTCATGTTATCAACGGCTTCAAGGAATTCCTTTGCTTGCTTTTCAGACTTCTCCTTATTATTCCGGTATCTGCTGAAGTTTAGTTTGCCAAAATAACAATCGTCCGAACAGCTGACGGGCCACTTCCGAAGGGCCGCGATGGAATAACGGGTGTAACCACAGAACAGCCCCCAATCCAAAAGCGCACGGAGGACACCTTCCGTTCTGGGAAGAACTCCAGTTTCAGAATTCAAACTTTCCAAGCATTCGAAGTCTTCCTTGCTCACAAAAATGTTTTCCCTTGACTCCCAGGATTGACGCAACACAGTTGGGTAAAAAGAAGACTCCCCTCCTACAAGGATCTTATCTGCTTTCCCTCTGGCAATGGTAACCAACTCCTTCATCCTCTTCCCCCGCGTGGGCAGAGTCGAGGCCTCACCAGTTATTGATTTCGGGTTGTTAACACGATGATCTGCTTCCGTCTGGTGCGTAGCAGCCCAATTCTCTTCCTTCTCTTCAACTTGCTTGGGGGGCGTCGTTAGCTCCCCGTCTAGGTCTTCACTGTCTCTAGGCAAATGGGAACTGGTGGATGTGCTGCTTGTGGTACTGGCAGCTTCAACTCCTTCTCCACTCAAGACTGCGAATGCCTGGCCCCCTTTAGGGCCCTGAGAATCTATGGCGCCCACATCGGACGGTGGAGCAACGCCAGAGCTCATAGACCCTCTGGATTCTTGTAATCGACGTAGGGTCCCCAATGTTGCCTTCTGAGCATACATGCCCAGGAGAGGAGACACCTCGGGACTGCCGTCCGTGCCGTTCATCTCGTTCTGCGCCCGAGAAGTCTGCAGCAAGAGCCAGACCGTGTAAGCAAAGCTCGCGATGAGCAATAACATCAATGAAACAATGCTAATGATGGAGACTATCCCCCAGAATCTTTCATGGGTTTTGTGAAGGGCAAAGGGGACAAACGCAAGGGCGCAGCCTGCAGTGCAGTAAATAATGCCTAGAACAAGTCCACCACTTGACATGAAGAATAGGCAACTGACACCCATTATGAACGACAGGAGCATCATCAAGATGGGGATCCAGCAAAGAGCATTGCAAGAACAACTCTCCAACCCATCAGATCGGGAGACCCTGAAACTCCGGCTTCCCCACATCGTGAAGAGAGTCTGGAAGAAAGAATTTCAGCTTTTCACGAGAAGAGGTTTATCATCGGTCTCGAAACGAGGGGAAAATAGTGGGGCCTTTCCGCCAAGCCCACCACCGTATGGCAGCCAAGAGCACACTGTCGATGGTCCAGGCCGACAAGTCCAATCGCATAGCACCAGGTGTATTGGAGCTCTTGCGCGGAAGACTTATAATAGAAGGGAGAGCTTGACTTGCAACTGGCGGATATGGCATTCATGGGGGACTCGTGGACCGGCTAAGCTGCCTCGTGGCGAGTTTCTCTCCGCACGTACCGGAACACGGTGGCGACGGGGTCTCTCGAAATTGCTTTTGGCAAATTTCACCTACAATAAGAAATGCTTTTCACGTTTTAAAATATAATTTTTCAGTTTTGTGCAGGGCCCGTTCGTTTCCCTCTGTTCCGCAGTGAGCTGCACAGCTCTGGTGCAATGACCAAGTGACCTTTGTCCATGTGGCAGGCCGCTTCGGTCTGAAGATGGGGAGTACTACGGGTGATCTTTCAGCCATCTAAAAAGCAAACACTCCGTTCTATTTTGTATTCACCATCAAAAAGACTGCTCCCATCGCATTCGCGTATACTCTGGCTTGAGTTGTGTGGGAAGCGATGCTCTAACGGCAGCGTCGAACCGGGCACTAGCAAACGCTGCAGTTGCCTTCAGTGGAGCTTCCCTCAAGAGCCTATGCACGCGTCCTCTTGAAAGCAGAATTTTGTGGGGAAAGCGTAGTGTGTCCAATGTCACACTGCAGTCTGCAGTCTACTGTGACCATAGGGCTCTACTTGCGTCCCAGCTAGCTAGTGAGGGAAGGGAAGTGTCCAGCAATGCAGTATTATTTCTAGCAGCAAAGGGGGATTGGGGGTGCGTTCAAGTGGGTTTGCCTCGGAGAACGGTTTGCGACAGGTTGTGCTGCTACTCAGCTGCTGCTACTCGGCACAACTTGTTGCAGCTCGTGCTCAGAGGCAGCCCCACTTACACGCATACCCATTCCCTCCTTGCTAATAATAGGCAGCCGTCTCTCCGCAGCAACCCCGGGCCTTTTTGCCACTGCACCCAGGACACCTATGGACTAAACCGAAACTGGGATACCTTAGGGAGCTCAAAACTGCACGCGTTTGAGTTTGATGAAGCTCACGACGGTCCTGCGCGATGATCCGAAGATCGAGGGCTCACTCTCCAGACCCGCTGCGCCTTTATATTACTCCTAATGGAGTGCGAAGGCCAATTCCTCAGGAATATCATACATGCGCTCGTCATCTCACAGCTCTCTTGAGTACAGGAGGTGTGAGGAGTGTTCAGCTGTCCCGTAGCCCTTGTCCTGTACTTCAGATTGATGCATATTCAGGTGGTGCTGTTTTCCTACTGAGCTAAAGGCCAGATTAAACCAGTGATTGACGTCTGCACTACGAAAGATACCCCAGAGATTACAAGTTTGAGGAACTAGTGCGCAGCTTCTAGACTTTGCCTCCTCCCACCGCTTGCTGATCAAGAAACTTGACCCAAATTTTGGGCTTTTAATGCGCTCGCAGCCTTTCACCCTTAGTTCAAGCATGTTGCTTTTACACTGTAAAACACCTGGGATATGTGGAGCGGCCTTTTTTCGTCAAGAGGAGATTAACTGTTTGGGGTCCATGCAAGGCGTCGTACTGCGCCTATCAGTACCATGCGCAAGGGAGGAACATAATGTCATTGTGGAGCAGTATATAGGCTAAATTTGCGATTCTTCAGAAGAGGTTTCTCCGCTTCACAAACATCTCTACTGCGCAAACACCCGTAAGCCAGAATCGCCATAACATATCAGAAGCCGCCGACATCTACCCTTGCTTCACCCGGTTGTTCAGGAACCCCTTGAGCTTTCTCCGTTTCGAAGGGCCGTTTCAACATCAGTTCACAGCGGTGGCTGAAATATGCCTCTCGAGCACTGCTCGAGAGGCCTTGGGAAAAAAAACGTAATCTATTGGCTCTGACGCCTAAATAACCCGATTTTGTCGTATTTCGTTTGGGGCTATATTACGCAAGAAAGGCCACTATTACCTTCACGTAAAATCAGTGGGAATGGCAAACAGCGTGTTGATGCATCGCTTGATAATCTTGTGTTGTCGCAGTACTAGCAACGCCCGGCCCTGCATATTCTGTCTGACTGACGAGACAGAATACCGGAAGTTAACCCAAGCAGGCGGTCCAGTGCGGCGCAGCTTCAGTTGCTGGGTATCCAACACAGACAAGCACACAGTGGTGTACTTGAAGTTCTGACAGTACAAGAGCAGCAGTGCATGGACCTCATTTGGTGTGAGCGCCTAGTCGATAAAGTTTTCACTCCACATTGTGACCGTTTGGGGAGCAGAGCCAGCCTTTGTAGTTCTTATTCATTGCGAAAACTGGACACTCGAACAGCGTAAAGACAGGCATGTGCATGCTAAAAACAGCTTAACGTGTGATCGTACACGTTTGCTAGGCTGAAACGTTTCATTTCAACGAGTTCCTGGCCCGGTGCAATGGCTGCGCATAAAACGCCATTGCACCGGGACTTCGAGGCAGGCCTTCTGGTCCATCCAATAACAACGGGAACATTGCGTATGGAAAATTGCGTGCACCTCATTGACGTGGGGGCCGCCCCTAACTGTCCAATTTCAAAATCTAGACATCCAATAATCGCCGCTTATGCACAGGCATGCCCACTCGGGGTTAAAAGGCCGTACTACCAATGGGTGTGGGCTTCCAGAATTATTAGCCTATAGCTGAGCAAACAATTATCAGAAGACTTTCGATATTCATGGCGCTTCTCTAGTGTATGCCGAGGGGAATCTGAGAGGCTACACGCACGAACATGGCGGACGTCCACGCTGCCAATCATTGTAGTGTGCACGTTGTTTGCATATGCATTCGATAGTTTGTCTGCTGTCAATACTCTATTTTTCCTCCATTTTATTATTCCCTCCTAGATGGGGAAGTTACAGGTGAGGTGCAGCCTCCGAAGTGCTGTATTACAGTTGCAGCCGGATGGGAATGGATTGTAGGGATGGAGGAGGTTTGGCTAACACAAAGGCATGGAGACATCACTTATCCTGCATAAAAGAAATCCTAACATGAGATTCGAAGGGCACACTTGAGCAGCGCTTTCTTTAGTCAATGGACTGGGTGCGGCTTCTAAAGAAACCCACAACTTTTCACGAGCCTTTGCAGGAAGCTCTGACTGCGTGACGTGTAGTTTCGGGTTTGCTGCGGGGTGAACCCTGAATACGCCTTCTGATTCTTCCCAAGTCTGGAATGCAACTTATTCACGTGCATTATCAAGTAAGCTTAAGCGTGCGCTCTTCTCTGGCCACACTGCAAACGCATGCATTGCCCAGCCGCAGGCTCTCTTGCACAGAACGAAACGGTCGGAAATGGTCTTCTCCATGTAAGCAGCACAGCAACAACGTTCTTTCAAAGCACAAGCTTGAACTGCCTAGCAGGGGCAAAGAACTTCTGGCTAGCCAGTCGTATGATACGTATGACCAGCAGTCATTGCAGTGGTGCGGTCGTAGAGATCTTCAGTGAGTGGCGTGTTGTTCCCTAGTTAGCGTTGATTGGCTCTGGAACTTGCAATCTAAGGGATATTTTAAAGACAAAGTTGGGGAAATTCGCATGCATATGGCGAGCGTTTCGTGATCTCCGTGCAAAGACACCCCGCAGCCGAAGCCGGATGTGCCGGTCGGCAGTGAAGCCCAACATTAGTGCTAGGTCCAGTGGCTATATTTTGCTTGACTTCCGATTTTTCACATTGTCGTCTTCGGAAAAGGGAAATTCAGTTGGGATTGGAACTTCAGAAACCTCTGAACTGGTCGGTGCCCTGAGGGCCCCTCTTCGCTATCGCGCCCAGGGGCCCCCATGGGGTCTCCGTATAGTTCTCACCCCTCGTTGAATCTGGTTTGCATATTCCGCTTAATTATTGCAGGTTATTAGCACAGCGGAGTGTTGCAATTGCCTTATGGACCCTAGGTCTGGGCTGACGGGATTATCTGCAGGAGACTTCGCGCCGCCTCCTGCCGCCTGCCGCCATCGGAGCGCTCTACGGCACATTGCACCCATGGGAGGAATTAGGGATGCTAAATTATGAAGAATCCGGATTGGAGGCATCGACGAAAGGGTCCAGTGGAGGCGGAGGCGAGGACTGAGAGGGCAGAAAATGGATGTAGACCTGGCGCTCGTCAGCGCGCTGCAGCTCCGCGAGCTACTACAGCAGCACTGTAAGTCCGAATTCCCCTTCACCAACTAGCCGCTGCTATGGGCAACTACTGTATCCCGGCGTCAGCCACACCAGAAAGCGCGGTTGCACTAGCTGTAGAAGCCGCACCAGCTGTGACAGCCTTAGCCGCTGAAACGGCAGCCCCAGCTGTAGCAGGTGCAGCCGCAGAAACCGCAGCACCAGCTGTAACAGCTGCACCGGCTGTAGCAGCTGCACCAGTTGTGGCTGCTGCAGCAACATTAGCTGGAGCTGCAACAGACCCTTTGAGTGAGGCAGTGATGCGGGCAGGGGCTAGCGTTCCGTTTCGGGAATAGTACCCGATGGGTAATGACTTTCATTCGTGTTGTGTCTCAGCACCCCTCTCTCCCCAAGTACAAGAGCTGGCATCTGAATGCAAGAAGTACGATTTTCAATATCCCGCTGCACCGCAGCCACTTTTGTTGAATTTTTTGGGGGTGTCATTAGCCTCTTGTTAGCCCCTCTGGGCAGCATGTACCGTGCTTCTTTCTTTTATTCCTGATGTCCATCTGTGTTTTTTCTCTCTTGGCCGTCTAGCCGAAATTCATTTTCAAGTGTCGCTCCTTTCCTCTCCACTTAAAAGGTTTATCTCTGATTGTCCTGTTAATACACTGGTTTGTTAATACAAAGCCACATTTGCTGCGCAGCAAGACTCTGGTGCATTATTCTGGCATCCATACAGAGCAATGTGCAACTGCGCAACTGCGTTTTTGACCAATGCTGCAGGCTGCTGGCCGTCGGTGAGGAATCCCTCAAGGAGGCGCACCCTTCGGACCCTCGGTTGCAGCATGTAGGCCTGATATGAGCTGCTTTGCATTTGTGCGTGAGAGAAATGGTGTTTTTCAGCTTGCTGCAGAGGCAAGTTTCCGCAGCTGCTGCGGTAACTGCGATTGTTGCTGCCACTGGCCCTACAGCGCTGGCTCTTTGCTGCTGCGCATGCAGGCGTGCAAGGAGTTGGACGAGGCTCTGACGTTCTTTCATTCTATTGCTGCAGCGGATGAGGACTTGGCCAGGCAGCAGCAAGGGGGTGGGGAGAAGCGGCAGCAAGAACAGCAGGAGTCCACAGCCACAACTCGCCCCCGATACGGCAAACGTGCTGAGAGGGAAAACAGCAAGAAACAGCATCACGGCCGGAGCAGTAGTAGGGGGAGAAGAAAGGATAAAGTAAAGGCAGCAGCAACAGACCGGACTGCTGCTGCTGTGTCAGAGCAGCAGATTGATGACTCCTTGTTCGGGGACTGGCCCCCCATAGACTTCACCTTCCCGGAAAGTTCATCTGTGGCTCCTTCTGGCGCTACTGGGCCCGAATCTCTCTCGTGGGGAGGCTACGCAGCTCAAGACCCTTTTTTGCTCTCTGCATCTGCCTCTGCTGCTGCAGCAACTGCTCCAGCTGCAGCAGCAGCTGCTGCTCCAGCGGACTCAGCGGAGCTCAGGCACGGCAGAGCCAGGACTCATAGTAGGAGGCGCGCAAAAAGCAGCAGCAGATCTCGTGGACTAGATGCACCAAGCAGTGACGGCGAGCGCAGCAGTAGCAGTAGCAGCAGCCGCAGTTCAGACCTCAGCAGCAGCACGCGCAGCAGGGAAGGCAGTAGTGATAGCGAAGCCACAAAGACCAACACTAAGGTCCGCAGGCGGCCAGGGAGGAGTAGTCGTTCTCGGTCGCAACATAACAGGGCAACAGGAATAGCGGCGTCGCTTCAGACGGCAGGAGCGGTAGAAGAACCAGCAGATGACTGTTGCAGCATTTGCGTCTCGTGTCTCCGCGCCGTCTTTGTGGCTAAAGGTGCTGCTGGTCCATTTCGCCTAGATACAGCCATCTGCGTTCCCTCGGAGGTACGGGAGAGACTCTTGTGAACGTGTTCCTGCATTTACTGGATCCACTTCACGGGACAGAGAGGGAGGAATGGCTTGTAAATAAGTATTGACGTGTATCTTGACTGCTCCCTAGTGCAGCGCTAACTAATGCCACCGGTGTGAGAAGGGCTGGTGTAGACATTTCATGAGGGGCGAGGAGAACTATTTTTTTCTTCGCCCAGTTGTAACAGCCATTGCAGCCGGAAACATAGACATCTGCGCGTCTTCCGAACTTGTCCGCGGGCAATGCCGATCACTTCGTGCTTTTCTTCTCTGCTGCTTGCATTGCAGAGTGTGGATACCGAAGCTGAGTGCAACTCCGAGTTGGGCGTTGTTATCAGCAGCAGTAGCAGCAGCAGTAGCAGCAGCACCACCACCAATGCCACCAGCAGAGAGCTGCAAGTGACATGGCAGCAACCTATGCGTTTTTTCGTCCGTATGCATCCAGCCGAGGAGGGCAAGAAAATAGACGAGTATGGAGGGAACTTCGTGAATCCACTGGAATGTCTACAAAAGGAGGGAGTCTTGCGCTTTCTAATTAGGGGAGGAGATGACGGATGGCCCGCCTTCACGGCTCAATTTCCCCTCAGCTCTCTGACATGTTCGGCTTTGCAACATTCTACTGAAGACTGCTGCTGCTGCTATTGTTGCTGCGTTGGTGTTGGTCCTGGTGCTGTGCATCATGGCCATACTCTGGCTGTAGCTCATGCTGCCTATACCGCTTCTTCCTCACATCCACTAGCTTGTTTGGCTGCTTTCATCACACTGAGGACGCTTGCAGATTTCTAGCTGTCATGGTTGCCCGAGTCGTCTAAGAGGGCTTGCACGGTGCTGCTCAATTTTCCAAGTAAACAGCTCGCAGCTGCGCGGTGTCTGCTCTTTTTGTCTTCAGACGGGCTCTGCAGCACGCACCATGTATCTGTGTTTTCTAAAGAAGAAAATGTCACAGACTGCACAGCTGCATGCGGCTACTTGTCCTTCTCAATCTTGGCAGAGCCACTAAAACCCCTGGCTACTTCCACATCAGGGGGACAGGCAGCTCTTGCCGGGAGCAGCGCGCCACCTGCAGCGGAAAAGAAGGGACAGAGGCGAACAGAGGCCATGAGGGCGGTAAGCGGACATCCGGACCATCCAAGGCTGTACTTCCCATATGAAAAATCAAATGCGGTAGTAGCGCTGCACCGTGTGGCGCACACATCGTCGTTGGAGTGGCTGCAGGGCTGCCATTTGGGGTACTAAACCTGACTTTTGGTATGGCATCTGCAGCATGGTAGGGATCTTGATGCAAGTTTAAAATCGACGAAAAACGAGAATGCTGCGCTGCAACAGCATAACAAGCTGCTGCAAGCGCAGGTGCAGGAGCAGCAGCAGGCTTTATTACAGCAACAACAACATATCCAGGCCCTTCAAGCTCACATGTAAGTGTCTCTCTTTCTCCCTGCCACAAAGCCGCATTATGTCCCATGGGTGTGGCTTCCAAGGGGGGACGGCGATCGGATGCTAGGCGCATTCATGTTTCCTCTTACTGTGACGCAGGCAACAACTCTCTGCACAGCTCACCGAAGCATCTCAGCGACTCGCGTGAGAGCATGGACAGTACCTGAGCAGTGTGCAAGCAATAAAGCCTTGGAGCAGAGCCGTAAAATTAGAAGTACTCAAGTTGAATTAACTAAAAGAAACTAAGAGCTGGGATTTGGTCCCTCTGGAACTGTAGGCTCGGGGCAACTGGTGTATGTCGGTAAAGTAATGGATGCTTCTGCTTCCAATGAGTTTCGTTGTGCTTTTCCAGGTCCGCTGAAATACAGCAGCAACAACAGCAGCAGACGCTGCAACAGATGCAACAACGAGATGCTGAGTCTCGTGCTTCCGCAGCCGAGATGGCCAGGTTGCAGCAACAAGTTTTGCACTTAGAAGATTTACGGAGGAGCGCCGAAGAAGAACTAAAGCTTCAGCGCAAACAAATTCGTAACTACAGAATGGAGGTAGAGAAGCATGAGCGTGAGCTCCAGCGGCTCGTAGAAGAGCAGAAAGATGCAGACAAGAAGGCCGTCGAGCAAGAGAAGACTATCGCGGAGCTCACAACACTCCTCAGCAACGCGAGAAGCCGCATAAGGAATGAGCGACAGCGGAGCGAGGGATTAGTGGGCAAGTTGGAGGGTGAGAAACTATGCCGAAACTGACCTGCTTCATTTCCCCCGCAAAAATGCACCAGATTTCTTTGATTACTGCTCCGGCCGTTTTAGCCCTTCGTCCCATTATCACATCCGTTCCGGTCTCTTTTGAAACTATCCACTGCTTCTCGTAGGAGTGGCTCATTAGACTCTCATGTGTGCTCTTTGCTGTTAGCATTCATGTTTCCTGCGTGATGCTCTGTTGTCTCTGCTTGCAGCTGCGTGCGAAGTCGAAACCTCATTAAAAGCAGAATTGCAGGCATCGCAGTAGGCATCCAATGCTCACCTGGGCATTTTTATAGATGCATTTCCCCCGTACCGTTTCCTCTGCAGGTACTCGAGTTAACTCACCACATGCGTCTGCAGTCAGATGGTTTGAGTTCGTAATTCTCAGTGCAGGATGCAGCGTTGGCTGTGTCACAGGAAAATGGCAGAGGAAGGCAAGCGGCAGCTGCTGAGCTTGACTTGGGGCTTGGTGAGTACTACAATCCGTACGCTGCTGGATGTCTTTCACTATTTTGCACTTACAGCAAATTTTAAAATACACAAGTCTGAGGGGATTTGTGGAGCCATGGATAAGTAGGCACATGAGATGCGCTAATATTTGCACTCCACCAAAGTCAGCCTGCATGAATGCAATACTGTTTGTCTGAATGGGAATGCATGACTCCTTGTGATAGCTTGCCGGCGTCATACACAATAGCGTTCAACTGTTAGTTGCGTACTTCACTGCAAATCATGTGCATTAGACTACTTGCCTACATGGGCAAATGCCCACGTACGCGCACGTACCAACCACCATGTATGCGCACGTAACACACCACTATCATTGTGCAAGCAATAGTGCGTGCATTCATGCGCATGTATGCATGCTAAAATGTATGCATCTATTTGCACATCCTCGCGCATGTATTTACCTGTGCCAGAATAGCTTCAGCCACTCGTATACGCATGAGGAGCAGCTGCATTGATGCCTACAGTTTTGCATGGAGACGCATGAGCATATTTTGTATCGGAGCGTCGGGTGCATGCTTCTCATCTACATTGACTTGCTGAGAAATCAGTATGTGCGTAAATGCGTGCGCGAGGATGTGCAGAGAGATGCATCCATTTTTGCATGCGTACATGCACGTGAATGCACGCACGTGTGCGCAATGATACTAGTGTGTCACGTGCATACATGTGGTCGCGATGTGTACACCTAGCGCCTAGCATCTCACAAAGTTAGCCTTCCCCTTACCATGCGAATATTGACTATGTGGCCCTGTAGAGAACTCCGTTTTCCTCACTTTAAGGATTGATTTTGTAGCAAGAACTCGTTATCATGTGCCGCTCTGCTTGTTTCCGTTACAAGGAAGCTCCACCAGTCTTTATTGGATTCACTGAGCCGAATTGTGATAAGCAGCCTGGGGGAGAGTTGCGGAGGCGGCAACAGCAGCATAGGGAAGGAGACCGCAGCGAAGCCACTGAGGAAATTCAGCACAACCGTACATGCTCAGAGTCACACTGGGCAGGCACGCCAAAGCAACCTTTCTCCAAAGCGTGTGCAGACCCAATTTCGTCTGCAGATGCACAACCACGAAGTATGGATCACGTTAGAGTGTTACAAAATACCTCAGCTTACCATTCTCCCTAATTACAGCACATGCCGCAAATACTGCAAATATGTCTAATTATAATGTGGACGTCTTCAGGATGGAATGATGCCCGAATTTTGCGTCGCCTCCTTCCCCCTGCTCAACCAACTGGAGCGGCGCGAGAGACTTCTCTAAAGCTGCCAATGCAGGAAGGTTATATCCACATGTTGCTTGAGCACGCTCGTTTTTGTGGACAACCATGGGGGGGTATCCTTCTGGAGAGTACGGATTTAAGAGTGAGTTCATTCCGTAGTTGTACTGCAGCGTCGGAAACGTCTGGCTATCCGAGTGACCATGGCCGTGCAGCTCAGCTGACTGTTATTGCCCTTTAGGAGCAGGAGTGTAGCAAACTTAAGGTGGAGGCGTTGAATTTTTCTGTGGAAAGGGCCTTTTTGTCCATGTGTAACTAATCCGCTTCATCTCACATCACCAGCTTCCACTGGGATTCTCAGCTGTGCTGTCACTCACCGGAACACTACTGTTGTAGGTAGAATGGTTTTGCTCCATTCGTGCGGGAGGCGACGGCGAGCGAAGTTCTGGGTTACCAACATTTCTATCTGGAAGTGTTGCGGCAACTGCGTCATTCGTCGTCAACATCTGCTTCAGTGCAGTCCCTTGTCCCGATGTAAGGGTTGCCCTCGAAAAGGAAGTGCTGGAGGGGGGTACGTTTTTGCACTCTTGTGTTTCACTGTCTCCCTGCATCTTTTCAATGCATTCAGTAGGTGGATGTGGGAATAAAGGGACGCTCCTACTAATGCAAAGCGGTCTGCCCAACCCCCTGTACATAAGATTCACACAAAACTGTGTCTGAAGCCGTTTAACCAAACAAGCAGTGCATAACATTTATCCATCATTCATCGGGTGCGCTATTGATTCAGGACGCGTTAGTGTGAATGCGAAACCAAACCAAGGGGCGCGGTGTGTCAGTGTTGCTGGGGAGCTTGAGGTTTCTCGCCCCTCGCGAGATATTCCCGTTCTCCTCATCACCGCTCTGTAGGCTCTGTGCACTATCCTGCACTATGGCTTACTTGTAGGCTGGTAGACAATATAATGACCGAAGTACTCTTGACTGCTGCCAGTCACGAGTTCGAACCCAGTTCAGGCTCCTACCCGCCAGTGTCCTTGCAAAGCTGCAGTCTTGCTGCATATTCGCATGTGTCTCTCGCTGCTAAGCAGGCAGCGCTTGCATGCGTCTCTGCTTTGCTGATCTCTCAGAACCCCCGACTCGCAGGAGCTTTCCCTGAGGCTGAAGCTGCCGCTCCCATCTGCGGCGTTCTGTGTGCCTTTCCAGCTATCTAAGGAAGCATTTGCTGCTAAGTGGAGATCTCTAGAGATGCAGGAGGATGCGGTGCGTTAATGAGAGCTACGTCCCCGCCATTCTACTGCCTCAGTAGATGCAGTCCCAAAACTTGGCCCTACCATGCGGCACGTTGAGACTCAGTGACTGGACTGCTGCTGCAATATCAAATCATTCTCACCAGCCGGAAGCAAAGTAGAGGCGCACTTCATCTGTGGTCGTCGCTAGAGCACTGCAAATGCAAAATGAATGCGTTTTCCCCTTGTGCGTGTGAAGGTGTTACTCGACATGGTTCCAGATCGCATCCGCAAGGCTGTTACCTCATGTGAGCTTGGGGGGCGCTTTCTTATCATCCCCCTCGATGAAGGAGAGCCGACGGAAGCCTCTTTAAGAAGACCAGGGTTTATGCGTATTCACGCCTCTGGTGCCTTTCCTGCAAGTGCTGAATGCACCGAGGCGAGCGCCCCATGCTCCTGTCCCCAACAAAACATTAGGGAATCGGTATCACGGGGAAAATATATTCCTTGTTTAGTTGAGCTGTCGGTCAAACGAAATGCATTCGCTGGAACAGAGCGTCAGATACAGCTGGTCTCTCAGTGGGGGCGTACGCCCAGTGGCCTTCTGCGTGTACGGTGTACCAACACGTCACTAAGAAGCAGCGTGCTTGAAGCTCTCTTGCAGCAGTTCCTCACTTCTTCGCAGATAATCCATGCGTCTTCTTCTGTGTAGATGAGGAACAAAGGCTTTTTAGAAGGTGGGACCCTTGAAGAAAACGCCAGTTCGCTGCTTGAAATTTGTACATTTCCTAACCCACAATTTCCAGCTCGTTAACAAATAGTAGTCACCAGCATTGCGTGCTCCTTGTGCACTGAAGATTTGCTACCCTTCAGTGATGGCCCATCAATTGCCCTAGTTGGGGCGTATTTATGCGGACTAGATTACCCTCACCAAGCCTTATTCTAGTTTTGTTCATCATGCAGTCAGGATTCAAGTTGTTTGAACTACAGGAAATAACAGTCCATATTTCCGTTAAAATCTCGCTATCTGCCATCACCGTTGAAGCGTACCGGGAAACGGGTGGCACTTACCCCAATTGCACGATCTATGCCTTCATCTAAGCAGTAAACTGCTACAGTTAAGTCTGATGGATCCTACGGCGGTTCTGCTTCGTCACCCGAAACTCTAAACAAGTTGTGTCGATAAGCACAAACCACTATGAGAAAAGCATGAATGAGCCAGCACATACGCCTATGCCGCCACTTGGTAACCCAATAGGAAACTTCCACTTCGCATGGTTCAAGAGCCCACACTCCTAAGGGACCGCACATGGCAGCCAACGCAAGGTGCATCCGCTTCGAAGCGCCACGAAACAGAGCCCAAGCCGCTTCACGATACCCTCAACCCATTGCATGCCATCCTGCTCCTTGCAGGTGCAGCAATGGATCAGCTCGCCTGCGCTCTAAGGATGCACAGTAAGTAGGTAGTCCACTCTACGCGTAAGCGAGAAGGGGATTTCCATCTTGTTTTCCATGTGGGTGCACTGGAGCACCTAAAACAGCAAGCAAACAGCAACCCACCACAGGAGCTTGATGCCGCGTGACGTGCTTTCGCACAGCATCATGCATTTGCAGTCTGCAGCTCGCTCACCTCCACATTACAGATATTTTCCCTGCTGTGCATCTCCACGGAGAAAGGCATGAGGGTCGTCAGGCTGGCGTTGGCCGTCAACTCGATAGTCGCAGCTGAGAGCTGCTGCCCCATTTCCGGAAGGAACCAGTGGACTGAAACCCCGTCATGCTCCGTGGTTCCCGCATCCGTTCTCAGAACCTGCTCATCAATAAAAAACGCGCAGTAGAACATGTAGGTGCGTGCGCAAAGATAAATGCTATGTATACATATTGATCACATCAGTACTTGACAATGCAAATGGCTAGAGTGCAACAAAAATCAAGCTTCATCTCAACAGCCTGAGCTACGGCCAAGCAGAGCATGCCGGTCAGTGCAGATCTGGAAGGAGTGGGGAAAGGTTAACCTGAGGGTTTGCCTGGGCTGGACACATGAAAGAAACACGAACGTCTTCCAGACGTTTCGAAGCGTCCGTAACCTCCAGTTCAACAGTCAGCACTGTGCCCGTTGGCGTCGTAGACGGCCAGCAGCTCACTGTCAGCGGCACCAAGCTCTGTATGAAATTTCACAAGATCAAGACAAAAGAGGAGTTCTTCCTATACAAAATGGGAATCTGCCGGAAAAAACGAATAAAGAAGAATATCTTCGTACCTCATCCTTTTCGCTGGATCTCCACTTGAGCAGGGGTGCCGGCTGGTGAGGAGGCAACGGCCTCGATGGGTCTCGGACCTGAAGCAGGCTGCTTTGAGACAGAGCCGCCTTGTCAAGATTTGGGTGACTCTTCATCTTAAACCTTTTGTCCTCCGGCGTCAGCTGATAACAGAAATGCATAAAACGTGTTATCGCTTTATTCGCGGCACACTACGAACCTCCGCATGTACGCTGGATGTTCAACTCACTATTCGATTGCTACCTGATCTGAGCTACTTACTAACTTGTTCAAGGGGAGAGACAGAAGACGCTCGCCTACCTGAAATGCTGCAAGAGACCCTCGCTGTGGATCGTTCGCGGTAACGAAAAATGTCCCTTGAAGTTCTACCTCCTTGACGACTGCAAAGCACAGAGAACTACCAGGTGAGCTTGAAGTCATGCAGGAGCAAGCGGCAGAAGCCACGCCGAGTACCAGGGCTTAAAGTTGCACGCACCTCCCTCGGCTTGCAAAGACGCCTTTACCTTTTCCTCAATGAAAACGCTTACGGGATCCGCTAGCGGATTGCTTAAAACTGTATGGACGCACGCAATTCGCAATACTGTATATGAGTAAAGACAACAAAACCTTCCTGGCAAAATGTACGATTTGCACTGGAAATGCCTACACACATGCAATCGCTCCGATGGAGCAAAGTGGTACTTGCAGGTGCCAAATAATGCCAGCATTAAAATAAGCACAAAGTCTACCATGATTTATCATTGTTGTAGCTAGATGACTACGAGCATCCTACCCTGCTCGTGCTGCGGTTCGGTTGATTTAGTCTCCTCATCCACCAGGTTCTGTAATGCGCTATCGACTCCCCCAGATGGTGTCTTAAACCCAAGCTGCATGCCCTTTGACTGATGGCTCCCTCTTGTGGCCCCTGGAGTGACTGATGGAGAAGGCTGGTGTTTTGAGTCATACATCCCCCCAGTAGGACTTGGCGATCCCCAGTAAGCTTCATTTGGAGGCACCCCCTGAGCAGCAGAGATGGTAGGAGGACCGCGCGACAGCTGAGTTGCTGCTCCGGCACCGCGAAAAGTAGTAACATCCAACCCTTTACCGGCCTTTTTTGCTGCCTGTCTCTCCTTCTCGAGTCTTTGGGCGATTTCTCGCCGTCGATCTGCCTGCTCCTTCTCTTTGCCCTGCGGTACCAATAAGTTCACGTTGCACAATCAGGAACCCTTCTTCTGTGCGCTACGTGTGTAGCCCGCATAAATGCAAACGCTGTTCTTGTAGAAAAGCACTTCATGGAGCATGGGTACGCCCGCATATACAGAAGTAATCTCACCAGATTAAACTTGAAAAAATAAGTGAATGCCCCACATCTGAAGAGGCTACCTGATGCTGCAGGATATGTATGTGCTACACACAAATATTTTCCGTCACTACCGGCTACGACTACGGTAGAGGGTGCACATGCCACTGCAGCTGCTGCTACCACGGATGATGCTGCTGGTGCATTCGGCTCATTACCTCAGCGATCATCCTCTGTAGCTTCTCTTCGTGAGAGTCCATGGCAACGTAAGACTGGATCTGCTGAAGCGTAAGCGCCTCCCTATAGCCGCCGCTAATAAGCTCGTCGAGCATAAATACTATATCAAACGCGTGGGCAGCTACGCTATCTTCGAGACTGCCGTTTCCGTGACTCTCTCCACACGTCTCCTGGGACACAAACACGCGCTACCTCGAAATCTACCAGGGACAGTGTAATTGATATAATGCATGGGCGCGCATAAACCCAGTTAACGACTATGCGCATGAGACAAAAACCAACTCTGGGCAACGGTGTACAACGGGCGAGTCCGCCACAGGACAAGAGAAGCGAGAAAAAGGTTAATCCAGCATACACTGAAGACAGCTCAAAACTAGCACTCTTTGGTAGGTCACCCAAAAAGATAGTCAATAAAACCACGAATTACGGGGATACAAACAGAAATATGTCAGTGGTGCGCCTTGCCTGAACGATGCTGACGAACATCCTTAGAGTGCCCAGGTCCTCGAAAATGTTGCTGCTCTTCGTTGTTATCAAGACGAGGTAGAGGTTCTCAACCGGTTGGTATACATAACGGACTGACTCCGTCTCCAGATAGGTATGGTCGGAGCCTAGAAGCGCCGGCAGACAGACGCACAGACTGGCGTTTCGTCAGCATCCACACACCATCTTCCACAGAGCTTCTAGAGCACTTCAAGATGGTTCCAAAGTCACTAGGCACACGATGCATGGCCCTTAGGCGAGCATCTATGGTTCATCACAACAAACAGGGGGGGCCGTCACGTGTGCAAGGTTTGAAGGCTTTTTCTTGAACGCGCGAGAATGCACCCATGGCTTGCCCCCCTACCCCTGCCGCTTGTACACTACCCGCAGTTTAGTCAAGCTGCATTGGCCTCAGCGTACCCGAATAATCAACAAGCTTAACGAATGCATTGAGCAGCCCTTCTACCTTGGTTCGGCGTATGTCCACAAACTGTCTCGCAAGGAGAGGTCGGACTCTGCTGCTGATACAAGCGCTAATGACCACCATTTCCCTCACTGGCGAGTTTAAGAAAAGTCAAACAAGAGAATAACTACTGCATCCCGAAGTCTGAGTGTTGCTCGGCCTGCCGAAACTGCCGTGCCTAGGGACTGAACGCAGAGCTTCTGAGAAAATATCGAATGAAGTTCCATAGAATGTACGAGTACCATGAAATCTACGCTGCTTTTTAATATTTCAAAATGCACACAGGATGCATAGGTAGGCAAGCTGTCTGCGATCTGTTTCACAGCAGTCGTCGCAAAGTCGCGCCGACTGGGGCTGGATGCAAGTTTCGGTTGTCTCCTTTTCCGTCAAATTTCTTGTGCAAAATGCTGCAGTACTGTGTCTTTATTGAATTCGCTCTCGTCATGGCGCCATGAAATTACGGTGTAAAGCACCATCACTACTAGCTGGCGTCAGAGTTCTCTGCCCTGCAATCGCTGCTCACACTGGAGCCCTCCCACATCTTCTCTGCCATGCATTTTTGAATGGCCAGTAGGTCAATTTTGTTGCAGTAGTATCGCAAACAGGGCCAACCAATGGTTGTGCCTGCCCTTTAATCTACTGGTGCTGGGTATCTAGCGTACCTATCGCATGACGGCACAGTAGGCGGGCAGGTTGGCCACGAGGGAAGCAAACAAGTATTGAACCATTGCCTACGGTGTTAGAGGATCCATCGTCAAGGGGCTTGGGTGTGCTTTCGTGTGGGGTTGCGTTGTAACGAGAGTTGCAGTTAGGCAACTGAGAACGAGCAAGACGAGCGTTGGTAGGCACCGACGCTCAGGTTTGCTCAGGAAACCTGAATAAAGCTAAATAAAGGAAGTCTAGCGGGAAAAGAATTGTCCTGAGTGGTTCTGTTTTACTGCCGCTTGCCACGGTCCTCGGCAAAGACTGAGGGCCAGTGTTCCGCGTGTTCACTCCGCATGCTTAAGGGGGGGCAGGCGATAACTGTGTGCCTAACCCCTGCAGTGGCTCCCGATAGAAGACGCAATGGAGATAGCAGAGTGCATTTATTGAGAGATCGCGAAATCCGCGAGTGCCGTGCTTTGGTGCACTGTGTCGGATTTCTGGGGAAGACGCTTAAAGTGAACTGCAAACAGAGAGTAGCATTGCAGAAATGCGGTGAAGTCCTTAAATAAAAGGCACGTATACGAAGGCCAATCGCAACGCTTCACTAGATCGGCAAAGATGTCAAGGCAACATGCCATGTATGGGTGTCGCGCCAGCTCCTGTAGCTGTGATTCTGCGCTCTCAGCTGGGTTTCCCCGGCATCCCCCCAAAGTCACCTCGTCACGGCGTTCACTTGGTCTGAATTTTGCCCCATGGTGCACACAGGGAGCACACTTAGGACTGTCCCAGCCCACTGAAGGAGTGTCGTGAAACTACAGTGCCGGCCTTCGTCGAAGCGTCATTACTAGACTACCGTCGTTCGGCATTTCAGCCCCACAAGCGTTGTAGATGCTCAGTGACCAAACACTGGTGTCGTAAGCGACCGGAAGCTGACATAGGTCGGTCCTAATGCGCTACCAAGCCGAAGAGTGCTAAAATAGTCAAGCAATACTGCCGCATCTAGACAGCCTGCTCACGCCACGCACTCGTCTCTTTTCATGTGTAAGTGCCCTTATCTATCGTGTACCCATAGTCTTGTTGCCGAGCAAAACGATGAATCTCCGCTCCTCAACTAACAAGATGGGCAGTAATCTGCCACTTATTGAGACACAGGCAGTGTATACGCCAGCATCGAATAAGTGCTGTCAGTCTGCTCCGTGGGGTGGATTCTCAACACCCGTAAGTCCACATCTGGAATAAAAGCTTCACACGCTCACACTTCCGCTGCGCTGGATACGTGTGCAATATCCAACCAACCTTTCATCACCAGTCTTGGAGAAGAGTCAGGGTACACAGCGGATTGGCACCGCTGAACAAGCTTTCGTCCTAGAACTCAGGTCTTCTAGTCTAAGCAGCTTAGGCGGCTGGCTAACAAATTGCACAACCAACTATCCGGGAGGTATCCTTTCTGTGCCGCCTGACGTGCGTATCATTCGGAGCTTCCCTCAAAAGCTCAGGCGTGTGTGCAGGTTCCCATTCAGTTCTACACTGAAATGGGAGTGCCGCTCCCCCTCGACATCGCATTAGCGCCCATTTCCTGGCATTCTTGGCAGGTGATACAACCCTGAAAGATCTTGTAGGCACTAGAATAGGCTGGCTATACTGGGGCAGCCCACGAGGCTAAGCTGAGATCTTCCCCACCATCCCGGGTTACAACTAAAGTTCCTCTATCAAACGTGGTCCTCTCTCGAGGCTCACAAGAAGCTTCTCACAACACAAAGCCAAAACAAGAGTGAAAAAGCTTAACCCGAGCACCTAGTAGGAAAAAAGCGTTTGGCGTTTTCTACTGGTTTTCTACTGGTCTGTTGAAGTCAACAGCCGCTTAGACAGCGCCCTGCTTAGATACGTTTGTTTGCGCTGTGCTGGAAGATTCATCGAACGTTGATGCACTATAAAGGTGCGAAGACGCCACTGATTCATCGTCAAAAAGTGTCCAATCCCGCGTGGCATTCAAATATTTATCGTCGTGGGAAGGTTCATCCAGTTGCTGAAGAGTGGATTCATCCTGCTGTTCCCGCCAAGGGCCCCTTGTGGCAGGGCTTTTGGCTTTACCATGCCGGATTATGGCCGTGGTTGCAGCAGCAATAATGCACAACACGAGAATAGCAGCAGCCCTACTCACGCGACTGCTCAAAGGTCCGTCAGCCTTGTTGTCTCCCTCGTCCCGTTCCGTCAAGGTCGAATCAACTGATTTACCATCTTCAGCATCCAAGTGCTTATCTGCATGCACAAGCATTTGCTCGTTGAAATGTGGGTAAACGTGCCAGCAGCAGCCCCCGTGCTTCGTCCGAAAATGCATCATGAAACCGAGGGACGGCACAGCACAGCGGGGGTTGCAATGGTATGTAAAAGTACAGGTCAAACAACCAGCCTCAAGCTCGCACGCACGAGCATAAGCACCAACTGGGCAGACCCGATGCATTTCTATGAAGGCGTCAACAGGAAACTCCACGTAACGCAGCACCACTGAAACAGAGAGGCAAACGTTCTCCAAGCCGGCCTCGCTTTCACAGCTAACCTGAAGGTTTGTACGTTCCTCTGGCGGCAGGCTCCTCACCACTATACTCTCTGGCTGTACGAATGAAATCTATCATATCCTCCTGCCATCCTTCCACTGCCCACCCATAACAGTGTAGATGCGTTCCGCCCTCTACCATTTTCAGCCATTTTTTGGGTGCGCCGCATTCCTGTACGTTGCAGCACATTTAAGCAAACAAATACCGGGAGAAAAGCGTGTACAAGCTTCCCAACAGAATTGGGAGGTGCACACGGAGAAAAGGGCAATTCAATAGAGACGCATCATTCAACACGAAAAATATGAAGAGAGGAGCCAGCGACAACGCAAGAGGTGCAAAGCATTTAAGCAGCCTGCAAGGAGTAACCCCCCTTAGTTCTGGATGCGCTGAACCACATCTTACTTGAAAAAGTTGCTCTGTGTGCTCAGGGGGAACATCTTTATCATTCGTCCCGCCAACAAAGAATGTTGGCACCTTCACGTTGCGAATTTTTTCAATGTTCTCCATGCCATCCTTCTGAGGAAAAAGAAAGCACAGCAGCGTGGTGCACAGATAACTAGCACCCCCGTGCGCATGTACGTTCCATTCCATCGCTTCAAGCATGCATGTGCGTACCTCTGCTACGATGCCATCCAGTACATGTCCGGAAAATAGCGGTGCGCATTAAGTACCACAAGCACAACGTCAACATGTGTAACTCGGAAATATCCACAGACAATCAGCGCACAACAAATTCAGCTTAAGGTGGATGTTTTCGTCCACTCTTTCGATGGGCTGTCCGAAACAAAATATTCCATTGGTATATACTACACTGAACTGCGTGCTTGCAGAGACAAACGACACTATCACTGACCTGTACCATTGTAAACAATCGGATAAGAGGTTTAAGCGCAGGGTAGCAGCTCTCTGCAACTTCACGGAGCGACGTAAACGTGTTTTCTATTACCAGCCCTTTGATCTGTGGAAGCATGAGCGGCGCACACACAGGAATGCGTGGACGCACAGATGAAACGACAAAGAAGAAGCACTGCGTCGAAGGCACGCAGGCCCTCTTTGCAAACCCACTGCAACTACGCTGGTGAGTCAGGTACAAAGCGCTGATGCCAACTATGAAGTGACGAATCTTGATTAAGATCCAAACCAGTGAGAACAGAGGCAACAGTTAGGGCGGCGACAGAAGCAACAACAGCACAAGCAGACTTGACCGCAGCAGCAGTAGCATCCGCTTGTGTCCTCACTGAAAAAGAGGACAAGTATTTGCCCACCTGGTTGCCCCTGCGGCTTGCAAGATCTACTGCAACACCACCGCCCAGGCTGTGACCTAATACGAATATATCCTCGTTGTTGACGTCCTGGTTGCTCAAAATATAGTCCAAAGCAGCATCAGCATCTGCGTATACGCCTTCCACTGTCGGGGTGCCCTCACTACGGCCAAACCTGCACAATTGCAGCACGGATTCTGCCAAAGCAAACTAGTGTATAGGTAACACAATCCATGCACAGGCGTGCCAGCACGAGTACATGAGCAAGCGCAACACCTCAGTAGGTGCGGATGTAAATACAAATGCACACTTGCGGACCCCAAAGGAGCAAGGTGTGCCGATGTACCCTCTATAATCCATAAGAAAAACATTGGCGCCGAGACCGTAGAGTTCTTCAGCGTGGGCTAGACGAAATCCCTGGTCTGAGCAGTTAGAGAAATAGGGACAACACAGAGGAGAGCAACCATCAGACACAGATCTAACTATACACGCGAGGCAATGATCAAAAGGAGTTACGGCAGGGAGCGGGACTGCGTCGTGCTTTTAGGTCCTTTCGCCCACACGGTATACCGACAGCAGTACGCGTTTCGTTTCCATGTGCTATGAGGAGGAGAAGGGATTGCAATTGCCCTACGCTTGCGTAAGCAAGCGAGCAAAAAGGGGCAACTGGGCAAAAGGAGGAGGCATAGTGTTCGGGGAATCCGAATGTGGAAGCAACAAGTATACAGTGGGAAGGGAAGGGGCATTTCAAGCCACAAAAGTAGTCAAAGACATGCTCGTTCAAAGCAGCAGGCAAAGTGGCACAATCGGGTAAGCAAACACTCGTAGTAAGAAGGTACACAGAAGTAGATGCAAAACGGAATCGACGATGCGTATGCATGCCGAGGTACAAACAACGGAAAATGAGGAGCAAACGCGCGACGAAGAACAGCCAGCGTACAGCCATAGTTCCCCTGGAAGCAGACAAAAGTTGGCGCCTCCTTGGGTTCTGGCTGTTTGATAAGCCACCCATGAAGCTTAACGTTGTCTCGCGTGGTGATGTAAACGTCATCAAACGGCAGCCCTGAGGCACAATAAAAAAACAGCCTCCATTCGTACCCTGCCGGACTTGGGCCCTATAGGCCTTTACCCATTAATGCAACAATTAAAATATCATCCTTTTGCTGTAAGCTCAGGCATACCAGCTACTGCTGGACCGCGAATATATGCCGGATCTTCTTCAATATAATGGCCTGCAAGAACAACACATTCGGGATCGAACAAAAAAGCAATACCTCCGAGGAGCTAACGCTGATATAGACACGGGCCACAAGGGTGGCTAAGCCAGCTTTTAGTTTGTACAAGTTAGGCTAGCCCGATCTTCATTCGCTTGCAACTTTTGAATTGTAGGGTAAAAGATTACTGTCTGGGTGAAATATTGCTTTGCTCCCATACATGTAGAAGAAGCCTGCACCATACGCGTACAGTCCGCATGCAACCAAGGCTTTCCCCCAAATACGTCAACAACAATACGCTAAATAACTTCACGGTTACCGCTAGTGTCGGTCTCCCCTGCTCTCATGAGTCCCACGACGGAAGAGCCAACTTTAGCAGTAGGAGTGGCTTTACTCCCCCAGACGCGTACACGTCACGCCATGAATGTTACGATGGAAGCAAATGCCACCGAGTTGGGCTCACCGGTTAAAAGTCCTAAGCCGACTACGCCAAGGATAGATAAACATGATACCACAATAGCAACCACTTTCACGGCATGAGGCCAACGCGATGGCATCTCGCGTCTTAGAAGAAACCTCGCTTCGTCGCTAGGAGTCTTTCCAAATAAGCCTTATGAACGGCCGGCTGCCCTCGCCGTACTCCAGCGTGCAAGCGGAGCTGCCAGCACCTTGTCGGAACAATTCACTATGCCTGTAATAGTGGAGAGCCTTCTTCCCAAGTTGCAAAAACGAACGAACCAAGCTCCTTGTATCGCCGATGACCAGTTGGGATATGCTCAGCCTGACTACAGGTCAGGCTCCTGCCAGAACTTGCTCGACCGTTGTCCTTACTTCTACCCGCTCAGCAAATGAGGGTTCAAAATAACTTTCTGTGAAAGTCACTAAAAGCGTCTCGTCATCAAGAGCGATTCGAAAGACAGAGGCCGGCCGCCAGTGCAATTAGGCTAAAGCGACCCCGTCAAATGCGGAGGCGGGCCGTCGCTTTGCGAAAGTTTCAAACTAAGAATATCCACAAGTTTAAAAGGGATCAAGCGGTTTAAAAAGAAGGAAGCAGCAGCCACCCACGAAACCGATCGCTCTGCTCTGGCCAGTTAACGCCTAAGGCTCGAATGGGAGAACCAATGAAACGCACAGGCAATGTAGCAGGCTCTCCATTGACCTGCTAGCGGCCTATTCCCAGGATCACGATATATAAGGCAATATTAGTATTTAAAAAAAGATGATTCAGGATGGAAATGGACCTAGGGGGTTACGAGAAGGCACAACGCTCACGGTTTTGGGGCTTGGTCGGTCCCGGAGGCGCTGACAGGCAGTGGTTCTCTTTCTGCTCTCCTCTGTACATATTGGTCAACTGTACTTGGGTTCGAGGTCTTTTACTATTGAGGTTGTCTTAGAAAGATTCTTTGATTCCCGCCAGTAATATAGAGTACGCACCTAAACAAGTGGGTGTGGTAACACGTGGTAACGTTGAGCTAGAGCAGTGCAACACGACCAACGTGACCGCTTCCACTTTCCAGCTCCTATTCTCATGCATAACTCCAGTCCAAAACTCTAGAAGTACATCAAACGGAAGGCCCCGCTGCCTGCGAACGCTTCCAATGCAGCCAAACGCAAGAAGTATTCTCGGCATGGCGAACGCTTCTTGTCGTGCCTCAGGAGATCACTGCTTATGCTGTGGCGCGTTAAGTTTTTCCGGCTAGTGGGCATGGAGAGAACCTGCATTCAACCTGTATTGTAGTGCACAGGCCCTACAGTGGGCCTCAACCAGGGACTTCCAGAGGTCTGTCCTTCCGGAGAGTACACATATTGAGAGAGTAGGATATCAGAGACAAGTCGAATCAGTTTAGACAGAAATTCAGATTATCAGTCGAAGAGCGCTCCGCGTCAACCGTGGGTTTGGGGCTGCCTGCGAGGCTGGCATTGCCACCTAGGCGCTGACGCACTCGAGTGGTCAGCACTTGGTTTTCCTTTTTGAGGCTATGAGACGAGAATGCGTTTTAAAGGTTGCTGCTCCTTATTTTAAGTTAACCTTGTGTATACTCGCTGAGTGTAGCGATAGCTATAGAGTGTGCACCTATGTAGGTGCGTAGAGAATAACGCATAGTAGCGGCCGTGTGAGAGTTGCTCACTACAGAACTCCAAATGCCTGAGCCCGATAGGGAGTCTGGAGGTGGAGTCAACGAAGTTGTTGGTGATACTTTCAGATGTAACATGACTGCGAAGTAGTACTGCATGAGCCGTCACAGCCATTAAACAGATCCTCCCTTACCAAATTGCATGCCAGGTTGCTCATTGACGGCAAGGTCGTATTCAGCAGTGAGATGCCCATCGTACAAGCAGTGCCCACACTTCTTCACACCCCGTAAGACGGTGTAAATCCCCTTTTCGCGAATGCGGTGTTCCTGATCTTCTTGTGTGAAGTGTCGTAATCAAACCCAAAGCCACTTGCTGCTTGTCGACTCGTCTGTTTGCTTGAGGAGCAGACTCAAAATTTTTGTCACTGGTACCAGTTGTTACGAGGAAGATGCTGCCGAAGTTGGGGCCTCATGTACTGAATATGATGTCAGATATTGATTGACGCCTCTTGCAGCCCCGTCTTTGGTCGCTACCCAAGCAAACTGCTTTCCTCTTCTTGAGTGGAGATGCCTCAGGGGCATGCATGCGTGCTAATCTGTTGATGAAGTTACGGTAGTACGATGCAAGGACAGAAGGCTTCCGAACGGCTGAGTGGATGCATTTCTCCTCCGTTTCCACCAACGCCTCTACTCTGTGCTGGATCCTTTTCGCTCTTTCCCTCTTAAGAAACTGATTCCACCGCTCTCATTGCAGAGGATGGTATTGTTGCTGGGAACGCTGAAATCTGCACTCTCACTGCTTTCCTACATGCACACTGCACGATGAGATCTCGACGACGCATGCTCCCCTTCCAGTGAGTCAACTTCTGTATGACTAGGATCATGTTGTGAAGTAGTCCAACGTAGTCCCTTGTTAGGGTAGTACCACAGGTTTTGAAATCGAGCACGCATTTTGTTCCCAGTGCTTTGACAATTCTGACCTTCTTTCTTCCACCGGCGAAACGTAGTGTCAGAGACTGAGCCCATGAATAGACAGGTAGGGTGCACGTCCGCCCTTCTGCGTAGCTTCAGATATCAAATCCAGCAAGCAGCCTCTGCAAAGGAGGGTTAGCAGCTTCTTACCATTATTAAGGACTTCGATGGCCACAGAGTTGAAGTAAGTTTATCTTCAAATGCGGCAGTCACCACGTTAGCCCCTTCGCGGTGCTGCGCGTTGCGGGAGGGCCACTAAGTTTCATTGACAGCTTTCTTTATCCCCTGGGGGAGCAGCTCAAAGTCTTGCTTTTGTACACTCGTAATTCTTCACATGCGCCTGCCCCCAACTGTGCAATTTGTTTTGGTGCGCAACTAGCATATACCCTGGCTTTCTGAGTGCTTTACTCACCGGCTTCCCTATGTTTTCGCATATCTTGTATTCACAGTCCCTTTGTGCATAGCTCTACACCTGAGTCTTCTCCAAGGGTGATTTCTCCCTCTCATTCGGGGCGGTTCAAATGGATTTTTCCTCTCTGATGCCTGAGTGGTCCATCATCATCTTGCCGAGAGCAACATTTCGCCCCCATTTCCCTTTCCTGCGCCCAGTCAGTAACGGGTTAATCTTCTCCTGGGAAGAGCCTTGGTGCGAACCACTGAAACACGCATTTCAAGCCCATCTTTGAGCTTCTACCCACGAAGATAACACTTTTCAATGGAGCTAAGTGGGGGGCCCCCTTGTCTAGCTTTTCTCAAGTCTAAAAAAGCCTGCTCCCTTGGGGGTCTAGGAATAAGCGTACATTGTAACGCATCTGGTAAAGGCTCCACCAGCTTGGACGTGTTTCTAGAAATTGCTGGCATTGCTTGCATTTAGCCACCAGCGTCGTCGTGACTCCCCTTCTAATAAGGAAATAGTGCGCTTCCAAAGAAGCACGCGATTCCTTCGTTCCCCCCACATCGTGATGCTTGTCATATTAACTCCGTCGGTAAGGGTGAAGGCATTTGTAGTGAACTGCACTCTAAAGCCATCTTAGGGTGTTCAGGCTGCGGATGCTCGCGAAGCCCAACAATTTGTCGCTCCCCCACCAAGGGCAGACCTTGATCAATCTCCACTACTGGAGGGAGGATGGCTTATTAAAAAGATTGAAGAATATCCAGAGGTTCTACCCTGCTTTTTCACAACGTACCTTCGCTAGCAATCAGTGCTGTGCACCAAACAGGCGAGTTGTGGGTGGGTCGTGTCCGCTGCCCAGCTTGCCCTGCTGAACTACGTTGTACTACCAAATATAGCGAGGGCCTACGATATAAGCAGATGACTTTCGCGAGCTGTAGTCGATTTAGAAGGCTCAAGAGCTTTCACTAAAATCACCGGCTGTTCTCCCCCCATTCTCCAGGCGTCTAAGCGCAGCGTGGTGAAGGTCACTTATCTAAGCTGTGGACTGTCGCTAAGTGCAGTGTTGTCAGACTTAAAAAACGAATTCATAAAAACGCATTACATCCCCTTGGGTAGCGATCCTGGGCAAAGCGGCAGAAGGGCCTGTGGCTGGTGGGAAGACGACGGGTCCCCTCAGGGGCTGCGCCGCTGCTTTGTTGCACAAATGTTGCAGGGGAGGCCCACGTGCAAGCACACCCAAACCCCTTTTTCTACGGGAACAAACACTGTAGACAGCTGTAAAACTGTTATTTCGCCCTACATGACCAACCCACGCGCCTGTAACAATACACGTACTAATTTCACACATGCCATGCGACACACAGACGCACAAGGGTCTGGGGCTGGTGTGGAGCAGAGGCAGAATGAGTTTCTGCAACACCTGCTGTAAGGCATCCCCACATCCAATCGCACCCAGGCCCCTTGCGTACTTGATCGTGTGCTGTGTCTGTGCATGATGACACTGCACACGATCAATTACGCGGCTCCCCAACGCCAACCTACACGCAGGTACAAATACATGTACCACGTTCAGAAAGACCACACTACAGTTGCCTGCCTGCAACCAGCTGAAGTACTTGTACGAACTCCTCGGAAGCCTAGCACAGACGATCCCGTTTGTGCAGATCCCCAGTGCCTTCGCTTCACGCTACAGGACGATAAATGCTGGATTTAATATGTCTACCTTAAGCAGAACAAGTTCCAGTTACTTAAAAGCAACACTTCTTAGAAGGCAACTCTTCAGCAGTGGCGGGTCCGGCAGCGTGTCATTTGTGAAAGCTGTGGAGTGACCGAACGCTCCCGCCATCCGAGGGCTCGGAGGTGCTAATAGACGAAAAAAAAAGATCAGGGGAAATTCCCTCAGACTTTAGAACTGGGTTACTTTGCTTAGCACTAAAATGCAGCGAAAAGTGAGGAAAGCAACCAAACTCGCACTAGATACAGCATCGATTGCTGGCGGCTCATGCGCGGACCCACGCGACGCCGCTCCGACGGCGTGGCTCCGTGTCCCTGGTTCCAAAAATTTTAGGGGTTCACGTGGCGTCTCAATGCATTTCATTGAATTTTTACAGGAGTTGAATCTACATTTTTGAAGTGTTTCTCCATTCTCTTTTTAGATTACTTTCTAGGGAAGCGCTACTTCGACGCTCCGTCCAGCGCCCAGGCGGTAGATTGATCATTTCTACGTGTCTACACTGTCAGCGAGAATGTTGCTTCGTAGGGTTTCTGTGCTGTATGCACTGATTGTTTGTTCACTTTGCACCTTGCACTGTTCCTTTGCTTCTGAACAAGTGGGGGTTCCGTCGGGAGGACCGCACGTGACGCTTGAAGATTCTAAGCACTTCTCACAGCCTACGTCACAAGATATTGTGCTGCTAAGCCCACAGTATACGCTCGAATTCCCTGGAACAAAGGGAGTAATGCGCGTTCTCACCGGATTCACTATCCTGGTGGTGACTATCTGGTACATGGCTTTTGTTACATACCCCAAATTGATGTCGAGCTTACAGCAATTCATCATGCGCGCGCGACAAGTAACTGACGTGCTAGTAGGGGAAGTACCACAAAGCCCGCTTGGCTTTCTCTTGAATAGGTGAGACGCGGAACTTCGGTCAGAGGAAAGGTTCACTGCATTGCACAGTGCAGACAAATAATACCTATGTACACATAAATACATGTATTTAGACAGAGCTGCTAGATCGACATCTGTTGATTCTTCTTTGCCAAGTGATTGTTGCTTTGTACGTTGCAGAGTTGAAAAATATGCCGAGGAGAATCCTGAAGAGGCTGCCCTACAGGCAGGTGGATTGGCTCTCGGTTTCGTGTTGCTGGCTTGGGGGTTGTTTTCTCTCCGGAAGCCGCGCAGGGTTAGAATTATCGGCGTTTGAGGATAGAATAGGATCATGAATGACAAGCTGTGTTCAAGACTCTAACTGCTGCAGAAACAGAGGGCGCTGACGCGCCCGCATGGCAAAAATTTAGCTTGCAGTTGCAGCTTTCCGTAGGCTAATTAAAAGGGGAAGGTGGCATTGCCTACGGACAATGCGCATTGGTAGCGGCGACTTTTTGCGCAAAGGCGCTGTGTTTTATTCTTGGTCGCGTAATTCAGGAGTGGTTACCAAGGTGTACGCTCCTGCTGTCGGGTAAAGTTCACCCAGGGCGCTGCGGGCTGAGGGGCAGGCCAGGTGCATGGGTCAGTAGCGGCGTTTTTGCTGAAGTGATTTGGACTTTTCAAGTTGCGTCGTGATGTATTTATTGCCGTGTGTACAGTTTCATTAGACCGGCTCCCAGCAACATCTCCCGGGACAAAATTCTGAGGAGATGAAGTACCTGTGGAAGCTGCAGACGGTTGCATGTACAAGTGAACAGAGTATATTTTTTAACTGACCCTGCTGCACAATGGCGTGCTAAGTATTTGTTCAAACCACAGTTAGTTGCTTCAGATCAGCGCGCTTGGAGCGCGCTGATCTTAAGTTGTGAGGGATCTACCCACACCGTGGTGTATTCACGGATGCGCCGTAAAGTTTATCGAGAAACTCCTGCATCAGCAGCAGTTCTGTGTTAGGTACTTATCAGACAGAATGATTCTGGCGCATTAAACCAGACATGCTTGCTTCACAGCCATCGTATAGAATAGGTCTGCAATGAATGCCGAAGGCCGCCTGAGGGTTGCATGCTCGCAGCAGGCTGTGCAGGGGAGATCCGTACTAGTATTTACTACACTGTAGTAGTTAATAGATAGATGGCCTCAGCTTGCACATGTCGCCGTGGCGGATGGGGGGAATGTTGAGGGTTAATGCGCTGCAGACCTCTTCGAGAAAGCTCCTCGCGTACAGCATGTCGTCCCCACCCTGAATAATGGTCCTGCAGTAGGCACACTTAGTTCTGCGGCTTTGAATATGCAGCACTTGGACAGCCAGCACCTCTTTTCTAGTGTGCGAGCAAGCCACGAAGCGAATGGAGGTCCCCGCTCAGAGGTCCTCTCGACTGCCTCGAATGAATCTGTTCGAGTGCAGCACGCGGTAATATGGCGGTAATATACGCCAGCAGTATCCATGCTCACTTCAGTGTTGCAACATCCATTTCTCCTGGCAATACCGTGCTGATGAACGAAAGAGCGCTAGAGGGTGCCTCAATAACGACGATCTCCCCGTAGTAGGACCAGCGTAGGTCCATGTACAATGATTGAACACCGCAGTTGGGTTCCTAAAAACTTGGGAGCTTCTGCGCGAAGCTTGCGATGCTTCTGAATGCCCTCCACTGCGTAGGGCCGTCATACACTGGGGGGAAACGCCAAGCTGGGTTTACAGGGTGTAAAAAAAGCTCCAGGCAAAGCTATGCATGCTGCCGAGCCCCCCTGCAAAGGACGGCCGGAAAGGAACGGCTGCGGATTTTGGTCCTTAAAAGTGAACGCACTCCGTCTGAACCAAGCTGAAACGCAAGCAACCTCTAGAGATGGCTAAATGGAGGGGGAGGTTTCTATCCCATGGCATCACAGCAATCACCCGTAATTAGCCTTCAAGCTTGTCAGGAGACACGTCGCGAAGTTTCGCAAAGAGTGGAAAAGAGCTCATAAGAGAGGATGTCTGTCTCTAACACTCTGGGCAATTGCTTCTCCCCTCGCCTTTTTTCGTGTTTGTCCTGCGTTGTCGTCGGCCCTGTGCATGTGCTTACTTCATCGCTGTTACCTCCATCTCATTTTATTGATCGCGTCCTCTGGTGTGGTGGACTGGGTAGCGAAGCCGATGAAGGTTCAGCGAAGGCTGCTCAAGCCGTTGTGCGTCAAGCCAGCAACGAACTAATGGAGCTCTCGGCAAGAATGCTGCCTGACCGTCGGTAACGTGATGTTCTTGCCACGCTCTATCAGTGAGCCAACGCGAACGCCATAACGCTAAACTCTGTAGTTCTTCGTGTACTTTCACATTCGTTTGAGCACATCAATTATTTTAAGCATCTTTGTTGCACACGCAGACGCTGGAATGGCAGCGGAGAGAGATCTCCACGTTCACTCGGGTCTAGACAAATATCCACAAGGTTACAAATGTATATATGATGGAATTTATAAACTATTCAAGTGGCGTAGAAGTTGTGCTGCAGTCAAGACAGCGCAGCATAAGCAACCAGGGGACGACGGCCGACAAGGATTGACTGTAGGAGGAGAGTGGGGGCTAAGAATCGCGGCAAAAATACCAAATTAGTCATTGTTGTAATAGTGTCACCCGGTAGTAGTGAAATGGGACCTGTCCCCTACTTAGCATCTGGCTTCTTTCTCTGAAACCGCTCAAGACCCTCGCTGCTGCCTAGGCATGGTAGAGGGGCCCCTAGCCCCGAAGCGTTCGGTGTAATGTTTCGAATTCATACGAAATCTACCCAGTCCATCTGTCTTTTGTCCTTCATTATTCGTCTATATTTCACAAGTACGAGCTGCAACGAAGGCCTCCTGCTGCCGTGCCAACGAGCACGCAACACGTCCGCGCAGCTGCAGTACAGGCAGCAGCTCAAGCTGTTGCAGCCGCTGATGTCTCCACCACGGATGCTACTCATGACGTAATATCAGGAGCGGAGCGCGCTGATCGCCGCGTGTATAAGCAGCCCCACCAGTAGCCTCGCCCCAGAAAGCACAGCAGCAGCACTCCTTGCAGCAAGCCTTAAGGGTTCGCTATCCGCTATGCGGCTGCAACATCTGGTGTCACAGTTGTTATTGTTTCTGCTTTTCCAGGCCGTTGTCTATGCGCACCTGGCCGCCACGCTCTCGCAGAATATCCCGTGCACTACCAACAAGCAGCAGCTGCAGGAGCTGCACCAGGGAGATGAACTCCTCCAGTGTAGTGGGAGTGCAGCCGCTGAATGTGGCTGCACCATCCGTGTGGCGCGAAGTGGGAGAAGTAGAAGCATCAGCAGAGATAACAGTTTTAACAACAGTGAAAGCAGCAGAGGGCGCAACAGCATCGGACAGCGCAGCAGCCGCAGCAAACAGAATAGGTCCGTGACCGATGAAAATGGGGGCCCATCAGGGCCTTTCCAATTCAGGACCCCATGGAAGCAGTATCTTGCTGGCTGCAGGGGAGTACCAGGCCAACAGTTGCTACTACTTCAGCAGATGGGAGTAAACCACATCGCACCGCTCCTCATGCGCTTTTTCGGTTTTCTGCACTCTGCGCTGCATCTACCAGTGCTGCTTAAGAGATTAAAAGGCTTGCAGCATGGGGTGTGTAGTGACGGGGGGAGCGCAGGCAGAGGCAGTGGCGGTTGGTGGTCATTCGGGCTCGATTGGGACGCAACGGTGCCGTTGCTGCGTTATTTTCTATCTTTTCTGCCGTTCTTGTTGCTCCTGTTTTCTTCCTTGTTGCTTTTGCTCACGTCGCGCAGCAGCAACAGCGGCACGGTTGCGGCTGCTACTGAAGCTGCAAAAACAGTGTCACAGGCTCGGGGCAGCAATAGTGATGCTGCATATGCTGGCTTGCTGCTGTTGCTGCCTGCCTCCTGCAGCAAGGAAGGTAAACACAACGGGAAGCGAAGTGTTATGCTCCTGCTGTTGATCATAGCAACGGCTGCTGCTGCAGCGACCCTTGCAGCAGTTGCAGCAGACAGTCTGAAGGCAGCGGGCTGCGAGGCCCCTCTGGCTTTTGAGGCATTCTCGGGCCTACAGCAAGAACAACAGCAGGGAGGGCGATTACAGAGAGGTCTCTTTGGCCTTCTTGAAGGACTGCGGCAGCTCCCCACACACTGGGAATCTGCGGCGCCTGCTGCTATTGCAGCGGCGCGGGGATACGCGTATCCTGCTGCACCAGATGTAGCAAGTGCTGCTCCCGCTGTCTCTACTGGTGCGTCGGATGTGGAAGTACTGCTTCAGGAGGGTGCAACAGCAGCAAAGCAACTGAAAAAGAGCTGGCTTGGTGCTCAGTATGTGCTGTTGCTTCAGACAGAACCAGAAGTGCCGCCGCAGCAGGAGAATCAGCAACCGCTGCTGCTCCTGCAGGGCGAGAGTCTCTGGCGACGGTCAAAGCGCTTCCTTTCCTCGCTGCGGTCGTTGTGCCGTTTGAACGGGTGCAAGGGCAGCACAGATGGCAGCAGCAGCAACAGCAACAATATTTCCGCAGATGCGAGCATCCAGCGCAACGGGAGCGCGCACGGTGCACTTGAAAGATTTTCTTTCACACCTATCCCAGTTCAAGCTCGAAGCGGTTCAGACACAACTAGTCTCCGAGAGGAGGAGCAGCAGCTCGCGTTTCCTTTTGGCAAGCAGCAGCAGGGGCTGCTACGCTGCATGCGAGCAGAGGAACTTGCTGCAGCAGCGTCGGCAGTTGGGGATGCGCTGGACTCGGCGCTCAAGCATCACGTGTTAATGCGGCAATTTGTTGATTCAGCACTAGAGCCGCATCAGTTGATGCAGCAGAGAACGCACTTACTGCAATTGCAGCAGGACGTAGAAAATGCTTTGGTACATGGACTGCCCCAGCTGTGGAAATTTGTGAGGCTGTTGCTGCAAGCCAGCAGCAGAAGCGTGGAGGAACTGCTGCGGGAGATGCCGCTGCTGCTGCTAGCTGCATTGGTCGTGGCTGCTGCAGCAGCAGGAGCGTCTTTTGTGAGACAACTCGCTGCTGAACAACCGGCGGTAAGACCTGTTGCGTAGGAGCTGAACCCGGGAAACTCCGGACCTTCGTGAAAACGGAACACACGTCATTGCAGCGTCTAGGCTAGAGGGTATGCAGGCTATAGGGGTACATCCTTGGTGGGACGTTGTAGTGCCCAGTCTAGTGTTCCTGGTCGGGCTTGTGAACAGGGGAAGCTGTACGCTGCATGCAGCAGTTGCTGGAGGGCTTTCGGAGCGTGCTGCTGCATCGCGGCTTCTTTGCTGCTCCTGGCGGCTGCCGTTTCTGCAGACTCGGCCAATCTCCTTAAGTCTTTGTTGCAGGATCCCACAGTAGGCTGCAGGACCTTGCAGGAGGCAGCGAGCTGTGACGGGAAGCCGGGCACCGTAAAGGAAGTTTGCTGTTATCACATTCAACAGCCAGTCTTTCCAGCTGAATTTCAGGTTTGATAAATGTGGTGTACGCGCAGATGCTCCCACGCTATTTCCCGCTAGGGAACGAGACGCTTGAGGGAATGCTGCTGCGCAGCATGCAGCAGTATCGCGATCCCATGGAGGGTCAACAACAGGAACACAGTGTTGCGCTGCTTCAAATTCCCAAGACCCAGGAGCTTGAACAAGTGGTGGGAACGCTAAGCAGCAGCAGCAGCAGCAGCAGAGCCTTATGGGACAACATCTCCACGCTTCAGCTACACCTTGAAGGGCAAGCTGGCGCTGACTGGTCAGTCTTTCTCGTGGGCGCACAAGGGACTGAGTACGCCCCCATCAGTGCCTTATGACTTGCTTTCTGAGCGAGTGCTGTGTGCGCCGTAGGGTGTACTACCCAGCTCCCTCTCTACCGGGTTTCAGTATTTCCTTGTCAACCAACAATAGCAGCGCCAGTAACGCGGTGGGCTATCAGGAACTTCTTCTTGAACTGCGGAAGCTCACAGGCGTCAATTGGGCCTTCAGGCAAGGAACCGATCTGAAGCAGTGCTCCAGCAACTAATCATATAGTCGCCCATGCCATAGGCAGCAATGCAATAAAGGCATGACGGGGCGTTGCAATTCTGATAGGTGCTTTTGCTAAATTGGCTCACTGAAAGGCCGAACAACTGAACCTCTGTAGATAGAAAGGATCAAGGGGAAATTGTTGCAATTTTGTCGTGCACCGCAGCTGGGGTCCCCTTCCCCAAGGTTGCGTCAATCCGGAGCCCTTTCAGAGGCAGCGGACCGCAGGAGCAGCATCGGCCGCTGCTGCTGCTGCTGCAGCGGCAGCAGCAGCAGCTAGAGCCGCTGCAAAGGCCATACAGAAGCAGCTTAATCTACTGTTTCCGCGACGGCTTAGTAAGCCGCAGCAGGCGCAGCTACTCCATCAGCCCCCGGTTCTCTGCTACTTCGTGTCTCAAGAAGTAGATGACAAGGATCTCCTAAACAGGTACTGCCCAACGTTTGCCAACTGAGTGAAACGGAAACTGTAGGCGCGAAGGTTTACAAGCCAGCCAATCACATGCTAACCCTCACAGGGTGGTGGATTTATCTCGAAGTGGTGTGTCTGCAGATTTGGACTTTATATCTCCCCCAAGGCCACCGCCCGCCTTCTGTCAATATTTTCCCTCGCACGCCGTATCGGTGAGATCCCATTTGTACTGTGCGACTTAGTTGCTGTCTAATGCTGTTCGTACGAACTTGAGACGGTGAGCAGCACTTTCTGCTGATCCTCACGTTGAATATGCGTTGTGCTGCTGCAGATGCGGCTCATGCGTTTATAGAAGAACGCAATAAAGCGGGTATGCTTCTTCTGAAGCAGGCATCTGCAGGTGTAGAGGCCGTGGAATTGTCGGTGCAGCGCACTATGGGAGTTGCAGAGCTTCTGAGACCCCTTGCGCATCAACAGCGGCAATTAGAGCAGGTTAGTTGCACCGGTACTTCAAGGTGCCTTTAGGATTGCTTGGCTGCCAACTGAGGAAGATATACTGCCAGAGAGCAGATGCACGATATAAAGTTTCTGCACAGGAACGTGATGCAAAGAGAATCGCTTGTTGCTCTATGCAGATGGGCGTAGAATGAGAGAGACTGCAGCATGCATCTGTCTGTGCCCTTCCCCTTTGTGCTCAGGGAAACAACGCGTTGGAGGTCCGCCGCAGGATAGCAGCGGCTGCTGCCACAACCACCACCGGCTTCGTGTTGTGCTGCTACTCCTGCTTCCTGCTGCTGCTTCTTGTTGTTGCTGCCTTCTCTCTCGCAAGGTTATATAGGCGTGTAAGTCTCTCCCCTGTTGCATCAATAGCCGCAGCAAACGGCGGAGCGGCCTTGTGAGGGCGGCGTCGTTGTGCTGCGCTGAGGTTTGATGCAGCGTTATGAGACATTGGTGCTTCTAGGAGCTTTGCGAGAATGCGAAGCTCGGCGAGTACAGCAGCTGCAAGAGGACGTGAGCACGTCACTTTTGTAGTTTCCCAATCTCTTCCACGCATCCAGCGTGATTGTGGGGTTTTCCTGTAAATCCTCGTCGTACGCCTGCAACATTTTTCAAGATTTTGGCTCTGTTTTTCCATTAGCACCTGCGCTTCGTTGCCTTTTCGATAACCAATGCGAAAAACGATGCTGTTCGAACCGAACCTTGAGGGAGATAATCCCTCCCCAACATAGAATGCTAGACTTTTAACAAGGTGTAAGCCTTTCCCCAGGGTTCTTTCAAATACCCTGAGGAGAAGGTTGCTCTTGCTTTTGTTTACGCACAAACTGACCAGATGGCCAACCTGTGTACTTGCCGTTATCCTTGTCCACGTCACGCTGCTTTGCGGCCCAAGCTGCACCTAGTACGCCTTGTGGCTTCGCCCTGCCATGCAATAGTGCCGCATCGATACGCGGCTTGTTTCTGGGACCCGCGGAAGCTTTACCTTTAAGGCAGCACTGGCAACCAGGGGAAAACGAGCAGCCACGGAATGCCCTAAGCCCCACACAATACAGGCGTGTGAAAGTTTATGTTGTCATGGCTGTATCGCATATGTACATGAGCATCTGTGCTCTTTCCTTCATTTTTTGTATACATATACAGGCATACTAACAACTTCCAGCGTTTACGGGCTAGTTACGAAGCGCCCAAGGTGCTCACACTCTGCAGCCCGCGCATCCCAACCCGCCTTCTGTGGTAGTGCTCAAGTATATTCCCGGTGGTTCTGCAACAAATCCAGAAGTACTGAGTGGCGTTAGTTCTCATTGATCCCGTATCTCTTTGCGCACATATGTAATCCTTGCCACATGAAGATACTGCTGCATTTTTGGCTGTTGATGCTGCTACTACTAGTGCCACGTTTGTTACCCGTTGCTAAGGCCTCAAGTAGCGCCCAGTGGCCGATTGGTCTACTGCGTAGAATTTGCAGTCAACAATCGCAATATTTTCTCTTTTAAAGGGGATGGAGAAAAATTGATTATCCATACCTAACAAATATTACCCGTCAGCCCCCTAATCGAAGACAACGACGCGTGTCTGCTGCCAGACTGGCGAGTGACCCCGGAAGTGTCTTCTGAGCACGCGCACTGTAGAGAACTTTTGACGCATAAAACCAGCGCAGTCAATTTTAACATTCAAATGAAGTGTGGTTCATAAATTTCCCTCAGATCCGAAGAGTATATCTTGAAAAAGACGACTTAAGGCGGAAGTGTTTCACAAGACCACAGCTAACCATATCGGCAACCCTTCATCAAACAAAGTAGCGGTCCCGTTGTCGACTTGAGAACCAGAAACGGCTCTTCTTTGCATTCTCTCCATCCACCTGCGTCCTGCTTTTACACAATCGTTTTTTTCTGTGCAAGATTGAGTGCGTTTTTGATGTCGGTTCCTCTTCTCGCGCAAATATCGGATCGTTGGTGTCTCCGTGGTCTCTCGTGGTCTCTCCGTTACACCTCTCGAGGTCACAACTCAGCAGCCAAGGTGGATAGCATATATCTACAGCGGCCAAGGTGGACAACTTACATCTATATCGTACCTCTCTCCTACTCAGCTGACTACTAGCCAGTTAAAAAGATAACATAAAACACGAGCTTAGATCTAGGGCGTTACCAAGTTTCCAGACGCACCGATGCATTCCATCCCGATTGCTGCAGGCTTGCCGGCTAGTGCTACTTCTTGATTATTACGGGATTTTTGTCCAGAAAAAATCCATGAAATGGAGCAGCAAACGGCGAAAAATAGTGGAAGCGTTTTGCGGCAGCCACGAGGGCAGATGAGGTGAGAGTTCCAGTGTAACGTGGTCAACCCCCGCTCAACCCAACAGCGGCGAAGTAGAGATGCTCCAACATGTCAAACCACCGTTGAACCACATTCCTATCAGAAGTTATTAGTGCATGTTCCAGGGAGTTCGTGAATGCTTCGGTATGCCTGTTTTTGACGCAGTGCAACTTCGCTCGCTTTCAAAGAAGACCCAGCAGGAGGGAAACCCATACCGCAGGCGTCAGGCCCCCTGGAGAGCTCGTACCATTCATTTACGGGAGGTCTGCTCGACATGACGAGTCACAGGAACCTTCCTGGGCGTCCTGTAAGCGTCCTGCGTCGCGGCGTGAATTTACAGTTGCCTCTTTTGCTGAGCCACGAACCTGCAAAGAAACGAGCAGCGGGGCCTTTGGTTGGAAAACCCAGCGACAATCTGATCCCGGAAGTGAAGGCCTTAAAGAGACAAGATTGTGGTGACAGTTGTGGTGCGCCTTTGGGGATTATACATGCCCGGAGTTCTCCGTATTACTGGGAAGATGACGGTCTCTCCTACCGTCAGCAACTCATGAAAATTCCAATGGCTGTTTTGGGAGGGCCAATGTGCATTAAATTCCATGGAAGTTATCCTATTTCCGTGCGGCCGACAAGACGGGACTTGCAAGAACCGGGAAGTCTGAAGACCTATCCACATAGAGCCGCATGGCTAGCAGCAAAATGGTTGACGTCTTTGGACGTTGTGCCCGCCACCGGCCGCGAGGCAAACGAGCGTTCGTGGAGGCGAAATGAGGATGAGGACGATGATTTCCTCGCTTTCATCGAGACGTTGCTGGACGACCCAGCAAGCAGAAAGCGTAGAGTGCACGCACTTTAGATTGCAGCCTAGCAACCATCCAGTATAGTCCCTTGCGTAGCACCTCTTAGATACATGCTCGGATGATGAGACAGTGTTTGCGCCCCTAATTAATTTGAGGGTAGAGTGAAAATAAGGAAGCCACCGGTTTCTACATCTGGGAAGCACACGAAGGGGGACCTTTGCCTAGCTCCATTGCGTGAATATGACGCAGCGGAAGTGATAAATAATCGAAACCATTCTTGCCTTTCCAACGTTTGAATCTGTTTAATTTTGCAATTTCGCTCCTAGACCTATCTAAGACGCACTTTTTGAATAGTTGCACAAAACCCGTTTTCCATGTTTTATCCCGTGCACCTGCATTGCAGTGCTTCTCGAAAGCATTGAATAGGCCTGCGTGTAGTTTTCCAGCATCACACTTAGTTGAAAATACATTGACGGCCCATATAGAATAGTACGCAAGTGCATATGGGCGCACTGGTATCCAGAAACAGCAGACTCACTGAGAGGCGCGTGCACCTGTAACTAATTTCATAAAAGTATGCATGCACGCGCGCGAATGCACTTAAGATACATGTCTATTCCGTAATGTGACCAACCATAATTTGTCGCTAAATGTAACTGGTACGATGTCTGTCTCAATACGGTACATGTCAGAAAGAAGTGGATTGGTGTGACACCCGGGGATGCTTTGTGGTATTCCTGTGGCAAACACTGCTATTGCTTTCAAGCTTCAACACGTGGCTAGTTCAGTTGATGCTCGCAGACGACTTTTGTGGTTAAGACCCATGCGCGGCTTCGCGCTTGCTTCTCGGCAAAAGAGTTGGGCACATAGGGAGAAAAGGGCGGCCCGAGTGGCACTAGAGCCTGCAACGTAAGGGAAGATGCATAGGCTTATGCTGCTTCTGTTGATGCTGCTGCTGCCGAAAGCTTGCTGTTGCGACAGCCAGAGTCTGCCGCTGGCGGTTACTGCGCTGTGTATAGCATAGCAACCTAAACAAAAACATGAAACGGTGCGCCGCCCCACAACGTCAGGCAAACCCCGAAGCCTCGCTCCTTTCTGCTTGGGTCACTGATGCCACTTCAGTTACAGTTGAGGATGTAACAGTTAGCAGGACTGACAGGTGTAGTCTGTCATCGCTTTTGTCACACAGACGCCGATAGTATCGTCAGGAGGCCGCAAGCGCGCCCTCTACTGAGTCACCCACGACACGTCTAGGATAATGTTACGGTGAATGGTTCCGAGTAAAAAATCCCCCTATCGTACGCCAACAGTATTGTCGGTTGCCGTGCCCAGTGTGGCACCGGATAAGCATGTTCTGGGGGACTGCGCCAACGAATAGACAAGTAGATTCCACCATTGGTCCTGAACTTCAGATACCAGAGCCAACCTGCAGCCTCAGTCAAGCAACTCCAGCAATTCTTCACTGTACATACAACTTGCGAAGGCACAAATTTGATGACACTCAAGTGCAGGTGCGGCTGTTGCCTCTTTGAGCCTCATTGCCGAGCCACACGTTGCGTGGTGGCCATTGCGATTCCAGAGCCGCAGTTTTCCCCTGGCAATGCTTATCAGTGTCTGGCTTATTCAGTTCCTTCGCTCATTTCCTAAGCCCACTGCTTGGCACAAAAAGGGCAGATGAAGGGCTACGTACGTCCCCAAGGCTTCCTGGGTGCTGGCTGCGCCGGCTGCAGATTGTTCTCGCTTCCTGTGTTTTTTTTTTCTGTGCGGCGCTGGCATTCACAGCCCTGTCATCCATAGGGTCATTAATTTGCATCGTTTTCAAGTCCAACTTTCTTTCCACTCAGTCGTTTTCCCCTAAATAATGCGTAAGCACTCCATTGTCTCGGCGTGTTCCACGCGTTCAACTCCTAGTTCCCACTCCTTGGCCCAGCCAGCAATGGGTTGCCTTTTTCCAGGGAACTGTGCTGCGGGCCGTTGAAATCTGTGCGTGAAACAAGAAACTACTCCACTGCCACATGAGGGCAGTGAAGTAGCTTCTTGCTTCCTTAGAGTTCACATAGTCCAGTACTATCTGGACTTCGCAGAATGCAGAGGCATTCTTGACGAGCCACTTTCTCCGTGAAGACATTTTAGGCTGAATGGGATACGTTTACTACGCCAGATCAACTGTGACGAGGTGCCTATCCTGTGGTCGCGTCCTCGATAAAGAGGCAACCCTGATCAAATCCCAGTACTCCAATGTGGAAAAGGCTGAATGTTTGAAGGTGTGTTTAGAGAGAACAACTATATGCCCCTTCCTTTTCCCCCCTAGAGCCCCTTTTCGGTTAGCGATTGCTATGCAACAGGCCCCCCTGCTTTGAATGTGGGGATGGCTTCTTGAGCCTCCCCCAGCGAGTCATGCGCTGCTAACAAGCGTATCGACAGTCCTCGATCCCAGCCTGAGCCCGTTGCTAGCATTAGAAAAACTTAAGAAAGGCATTCTATGAAAGATGCTGACCTCACCTCCAACCTCCAGGAGTCGTTTGCACATTGACGGAAGGGCCTGGGGATGGCGGGGCGAAGGTGGGGCGTCATGAGCTGCTGCATATCTCCGTGCAACTCCCTCTGGACAGTACTGCCTGTCGTGAGCCTGTACATGTATTTTCGCTTGCATGCAGGCTACCTAATGAGGGACAGGTAAGTGTTCCACCATACAGTGGTGGTGCATGCAACAAAAGGAGGCTTCGTTGCGTTTGCATGCGGGGTTTCACTGCGGCAATAGTTGCAGCGAGGTGAATCGCAGCTCTTCTGGGCTGTCTTCTTCATCAGCAACCTTTGGAATGCTCTTCTCGGAACGCCCGGGGACTCAATAGAAAGTATGTTGCTTTCTGGTAATTTGTATGTGGAGTATTTTGACTGTACTGCACCTCGCGACCATCTATGCATAAGATGGAGTCCTCTCGTTACATGTTCCTCCGCAACCCCAGTTGTGAAAATAACTCAGCTCCCTCCGCAACATGCACTAATATAGTGTGCAATTGTTAAACACTTGTTTCCCTTCAGTTGAGAGCTCGCTTATAAGTAAAAATAAGCTTACCAACTCCAGACAGACAGTACTCAGGAGCATGAGGGAAGATGGCGACGATATGCTATCCGCAGCTGTCTTGAGGCAAGAAATAGGTCTTCTTGAAATAATTTCAAATAAGAAAGATTCATTTTTTCTAATTTAAAGACATATTTTAAAGAAAATGATAGTATTGTTCTCAGGCACTCGGGATCAAGCAACGTTTCACCCTGAAAGTCTTCTGGGTGGGAGTCGACCGGGGGACGAGGAGCTGCGCGCAGAGCTCAGCAGCAAGCAATGGCTTTAAACTGCTTTACATTTTATATTTTATATTTAACGGTTAATGAGGGATAATTCAACTTCATTATTATCCTCTTTAGAACGTACAATTCTCCGTTAATCTAGAGAATCGGGTGCGGGGCCGATTGCGCCCCTGCTCCCCACCGAAACTCTCTAGAGCGTAAGGGCTGCAGCCCTTAGCAAGTGCTCTTTAACAGTATAACCAAAGTTTTGTTTTGGTATTTATACTCTGAACAGCTGGAGAGAAGGCGGAGATCCCTCATGAGGGCCCCACCCCTGCCTTACCTTTCTAGCCAGGGGTTCTTAGGCTGATGAAGGGTTGGGGTCCCTAGTAGTATATTTTCTCTCACCTAAGCACCAAACCTGTGCTCTCTAACTATGAGGCATTTTCTGCTACTTGCTGCGGGGGTGGCGCTCCTCGATTTCTCCTCAGCTGTTCAGGCACCTAACCATGCTTCTAACGAAGGGCGTCGTTCAGCAGCATCGCCACCAGCAGCAGGAGTATCATTGGCAGCAGCAATACCAGCAGCAGCATTATTAAGCCCTACGCGGTCTCTACGTAAATTGCTTGGTAGGGCCGCCTCCACCGCCCGGGCGCAAGAGAAGAAAAGAACCCTCTCCGCTGAGTCATCTCTTGCTGCTCCTGTTGCTGGTGCATCTCAGGGCTCTAGCACATCCACACCACTAGGAGAAGGAGATGCAGTATCTGCTACAGACAACTCGTCTCCGTCTTCCTCCTTGCATGCATCTACTCGTTCCCCTTCTGAGGAGACACCAGCGGAAGGTATGGAGTCTCGATCAGCTCTAGAGAAATTGATGGCTAAGGCAGCAGCCGTGCAAGCAAGGAGTGTAAAGGCTTCACACATGCGCGGCTCAGGGGATAGAAGGCGGCGGCTACCCCGAAGGAGAATTCCTCAGTCCCCCGGATCTCCGACAACAGTGGGCCCTTCGTTATTGGGCATAAGAGATGAGACAGAAAGCCCTATGTCTTTAGATGACGTCTTTGCTCAGATATCTCAGGTGTCTCTTTTCTCTAGGAAAACAGAGTCCGGAGTGCCTGCGCGACCTCGAAAGAAGAAAACTCCAAAGACCTGGCACACCAATACAAAGAGAAGATGGGGAGCCCTTCAGCGATACCCTGACACTGAATCTGAAGACGATGATGCCCCTATCCTCGCTGTCTTGCCTCGTATGCCCGCACCTCGCAGCCCCTCTACTTCTAAAAACGCTGCAGGAGACGCTTCATCATCTGAGTCCACTAACACCCCTCAAGCGGCCTTGCAGCAGCTGCTATCCGATGCAGCAGGCTCAATGGGTATAGCGGCATGGACACCTACAAAAGAGCCTCCTCCTTCTCCCCCAGGAGAACCCTCTGAGGGGTTCATCTCTCCAGCTGCTACACCGGAGGCCCCCTCAGCATCTACAAAAGGATCGCGTAGTGCGCTTGAAGATCTGCTGAAACAAGCAACAGCAAAAATTGCTGCTGGTACTCGCCGCAAGAAAGCTCACAGAGGAAGTTTCCGTCTCGGTAAGAAGAACTCGCAGTTACCTCAAAAAGGAAATAAAACAGAAGATGATGAACCCATTCTTGCTGTACTACCAAGAAAACCTCCGGCTCCTCATTATTCAGAAGCAGTTCAAACTAATCTCAGTTCAGTTTCTGGATATTCTCTAAAGCAAGAAACTTCCCCTAGGGAGGCTTTGCAGCAGCTGTTAGCAAACTCAAGTAGAAATATTTCTTCTTGGGTTAGAGTGGAGGAGGGCATCAAAGAAGAAGAAGAAAGTACTGGAGGAGTAGAAGAAGCGGAGGACTCCGAAGAAGGCGTCCCCCCACAGGTTACTGAAGGGGTACAGGGGGCCCCCACAACTGAGGGCCCCCTACCACTAACCGCTCAGAGGCTCAATTCCTCTGAAGAGGCCCCTGGGCCTCAGCCTGCCAATGCGCTTGAAGTTAAAGGCTTCGAAGTAGCAGCAGCAGCAAATGCAGAAACGGCCAAAGTAGCACCAAGATTAACTCTAGAAGTAGTAGTAGCAGCAGCAGCAGCATGGGATATGAAAGCTGCAATTGATGCTGCTCGAAAGGCGGAAGAAACCGCAAGAGCAGCAAGAGCTGCTGCTACATCAGCAAGAGGAATATCAGGTAAACTTTCTTGACGTTTATTCCGAACGTATAGCCTCTTTCTTATACTTCAAAACGCATACAAATGCATTTGTGCATGCATTTACAGTTATTCCTCAGCCGTAGTTTATTTATGGGGCTTTGAGCTGAGGGATATTGATGTATTCTTCATCTTTTGTTTTTGTTTGCTGATCTTTCCTTGCTGTTGTTGCTGCTGTTGTTGTTGTGGGTATTGTTTATTTTTATTGCTGCTGTTCTTGCTGTTTTCTTGTTGTTGTCGTCAGTGGTATTGCTGTTTATTGTTTATATTTTGTTGTTATTGCCGTTTATTTTTGTTTTTGTTTCTTTTGTTTACTTGGTGTTGCTGTTGTTGCTGTTGCTGTTGCTGCACAGCTCTACCGGGGCCCCCAAACGGGCAGGTACAGGGTGCTGATTTCAAGGGGGGTAGGGTCCAGATGAAGTGGGAAGAAGATTCAGTGTCTGAGGAGACAACAGAATCTGAAGAGTCTCACTCGAATGAGGTGGGCCCCCCTTCAGGTGGCTGGGATACTTCTATGCGTGTCAGTGAAGAATCAGGATCTCTTAAGACCCTCTCTCACACACAATGGCGGCTAGGAAACCGAGAGATGGTTGGCTTCAATAGCGGCTCCCATAGGGGGCTTCACTCCTCTTCTTCTCCTTTCTTTCCTTCACACTCATCTCTAGCGAACAAATCACCAGAAGGAACTCCGTCTTCATCAGAACAATACGAAGAAGACTCTGAATATGGAAAAGATCCCCCTTGGGAAGCACCCGCGGGCGTTGGGGGCCTGCAGAGAGAAACAGAAGAACCCGCTGGAGGCTGGGGGCTCCAAGGGACCCCTGAACCAGGGCCAGCGCTACCATCACAAGATATGCAACAAAATCAAGATCTCACACCACCACGAGGATTGAAGGAAACGGAAACACAAAGCCCTCTCAAGGACGGCATCATCCAGGAAGCGGATCGTGCGCCGTCGCAGCAAGGTACAGCTGCAGCAGCAGCAGGAGCTGCTGCTGCTGCTGCCGCTGATAGTGGAGAAGGAGATGCAGTTCAGTCAGAAGGAGCCTCTTTTTCTAATACAGAAGGGCCCAGCAACACTGGAGGGGGCTCCTATAAGAAGAAGAATTCGCACACCAGCAACACCCACACAAAGTCTTGGGGGTTGGGTCCTGCTATTGTGTTTGGGTTGGTGGTGGGTGTTGGATTATGCGTGGGCATCGGTGTTTGGATGCATATTCAATGTAAGCAAATCCCCGTAGAGCTTAGATAATTGAAGGAAAGTGTTCTCAATGCAGTAGTGTATACGCACTACAAGACGTGGAGTTGCATTGCTGATCGATCCCATGAATAATAAGCATTGTGCACGTTTACTCGCTTTGTTTATTCGTTGTTTGTTTGCTTTTCAGGCCCCAGAAGGGCTAAGAACGATGCAACGAGGATTGAAGGTAGCTCAGGCATGAGCAGCAGCCTCTGGGATATATCTAGCGACCTATTTGCTGCTAGATCTTGAACCTCGCACTCTGATGGGTGCTTCTTGGGGGCTCTGCTTGTGACGAAGCACAACAAGCAAAACAAGAAGAAAGTGCCTCTATGGGGTGTGTATGACTAAATGAGTAGTACACACTCCACAATATTTTTATGTGTATATTTAGGTATAAAGCGAGCATGCCCGGCTCTAGGTAAATAAATATATTTATACAATATACACAGCATACAATATAATGTGCCTATGACGATTGTCCAGATCCACTTCTATATGTTTATTTTAGCGCTGAGACAATTGGTTTGATTATGATTATTTCGTGTGTCTGTACACCTGCGACGTGCGTGGCTGCATTTGCATTAATTGAAGCCTCTGCACATGAGTTGCTGTGTTTAGTTTCATTGTTTAAGTTCAAATGCCCTACAGGCCCCCGTGTGCATAATAGGACGCTAGGCGTACAAAGAGCTAAAGGGCCTAGTCTTTGACTCTATTCCGATTGCAAAAGCAAACGGAAGGAGAGCTGTTTGTCTCCCACTTTTTACTGGGAGCTGTATGTACACTTGAGCAGCCTCTGCTGTGCAGACGCTGATCACACAATATACACCAATCAATGCTGCCTTAAACACGGGTCCCCAAGGACACGAGTTGCTGCTAAGCTAAGAGCAATCAGGTGAGTTTCGCTCAGCTCAATGCAATGCAGGTCCCTGTGGAGTTAGCACTGAATGCCCTGCGGTGTATAGGCATCTGTTTGTCTGTCACTGCTGCTTCTTTTCCCCTCTTCTTCCTGCCTACTACCCACTCCTGGGAACCCGTGAGGCCTCAATTTTAAAAACAAACCGCTTCAATAGTCTTTTATAGCTGCCTTGTAAGCCAGCTAGCTAGCTAGGGGTTAGCTACCCATACGTCGGGAGGTAAACAGATACAGAGGCCCTTCTTCTATGCGAAAACAACTAGAGACAAGGCGCACTAACGGAGGAGGGGGGCCCCTAAGGCCCCTCCTTATGCGGGGGCCCCACAGGCAAACAAGGCATGTTTAGGAGGCCCCCAAGCAAAGGGTTCTTTTGTCTTTTTCGTTGTTTTCAACGCTGCGGCCACGCAGCAGACTGCTGCTGCGGCTGCAGCTGCGGCAGTTGCTGCTGCGGCTGCTGCAACTGATGCAACTGCTGCAGCAGCTGCGCAGTGCGCACAGCCACAGCAGGCTGCTGGCCTGTCATCTGAAGCTGTTGCTGCTGCCTCTGCAGAAGAAGCTGCTGCTGCAGAAGCTGCTGCTGCAGTTGTTGTGGCTGCTGCTGCAGCAGTAACTGAGGATGCTGCTGCTGGAACATCTGGAAGGGCGGTAATGAATGACCCGCGGTCGAAGATGCAGCTGCAGCAGCAGCAGCAACATTCTGCTGAACTTGCTGCTGCTGCTGCTGAAGGACTTGCTGCTTTGCAGCGTCCATGACTTGGTGCTGCTGCAGTTGCTGCTGCTGCAGTTGTTGCTGCTGCAGTTGTTGCTGAAGCACATTCAGCTGCCTATTTTGGCGCAGCAGCTGCTGCTGTTGTTGAGCAAGGCCTGAGATAGGGCCTGCAATAGGTCCCGGAAGGGCCCCAAGTGGGGGCCCCTGAAGTGGGGCCCCCGGCAAGGGGGGTCCTGGGCGTCGAAGGCGCTGCTGCTGCAGCTGCTGCTGCTGCAACTGTTGCTGTTGAAGCATGTGCGCACTTGTAAGCCCCTGCTGCTGCTGCAGCAACAGCTGCTGTTGCATCTGCTGCTGCAGCTGCTGTTTCTGCTGCGGCGTGCTCAGCAGCAAATCATACAGAGCATCGAAGTGTACAGGCAGGTTCCTGGGGGGTGCTCCTGAAGTCCCCGCTACCGGAGCTGCTGCTGCTGCTGCTGCTGCTGCTACTTTGTCTCCCTGTTGCAGCAATGCTGCGTCTGTCTGAGTGGCTGCAGCAGCTTCTTCGGATGGTTTTACTGAAGCAGCAGGCCCCGCAGCAGCAGCAGCAGTTGCTCCTGCTGCTGCTGCTGCTGCAGTGCCCTCTGCCTCCGCTGCGTCTGTCTTCAGACGCTTCAGTGGGGGCCCCCGCGTTGCTGGAGATGTGAGGGCCCCCCCCTCTTCTCTTGCGGGCCTTTGGCTTAGTCTTCCCAGTGGCGTTGCTGCTGCTGCTGCTGCTTTAGCTGCAGCCTGCAACAGGCGGAGGCGCATCTGCTGCTGCTCCTGGGCAAAGACAGCAGCAGCTACTGGGTTGCTACTGCTGCTGATTCTGCTTGTTCCGCAGAGAGCAAGAAGGACATCTGTACAAATAGGAGGTGGCTGTACAGCAGGGGCCCCAGGGGCCCCATATGCCCCCCCAGTACTAGCAGATGGGGGGCCCCCAGATGAGGGTATTCTAGATAAAGTTCTTGCTGACAGCACATGCGCCTCTCCTACGCCAAGCAAAAGAGATTGATCAAATCGTAAACGTGAATTAAACTCTGAAAAATCCGGTGTATCGATGCCTGCATGCAGAAGGCAGTAACAATGCAAAAACAACGAACTCTAAACCCTAAACCCTAAAACCCTAAAAACAAGAAACAACCCTGCACCCCAAACCCTAAAACACCCAAAATCCTAAACAACCCCAAACCGAAAAAATCCAAACTTATATTCTAGACCCTAAACCCTAAAAGCCTAGACCCGAGAGCGTCAAAACCCTAGTTCCCAAGCTCTGAACCCGAACACCTAAACCCTAAACCCTACACCCTAAACCCTAGCCCCTGAATTCTGACCAACGAGTAGGGAAATCCACACCCTAAATCCTAAACCCTAGACCCGAGAGTGTAAAAACTGTATGCCCCAAGCTCTGAACCCAAACTCCTAAACCCTAAACCCTAACCCCAAACCCTAAACCCTAAACCCTAAACCTTAGGCCCTTGGTTCGCACCAAAGAGTCGAATATCTGTAAGAGGCGACTTAGGGGGTTCTTTTTGCTTCAGCCTCCGCACTGTAAGTCGCAGCTGAGGGCAATCTGCTTCCAATCGTTTGAGGGCTTCAGCTCCTAGAAAGTCTAGCATGCTGCAGCAAGACAGACTGACAGCAACAGCATATGGTATAAGCCCCCTTTCTTCTTGTTGTTGTTCTTGTTGTTTTTGCTGCTGTTGCTGTTCCTCTTCTTGAGGATGCAACTACTTCTTTATTCTGAACGAACTGCATTTAGCAGTCCTCAGGTGTACGTACACCCCAACATACCTCGCATTATATGATAGGTTACGAGACCCCTGGTGCCGCCTCATCATAGATCGAGACCCTGGTAGAGGCTGCATAGGATATTCTAAAACATTAAAGCCCTTGCTTGCTGCTTGTAAAGAACCAAGGGGCCCCTCCCCCCCTCCTGCTGCTGCTCCTGCTGCTGCTCCTGCTGCTGTGTCTCCCGCTGCAGCGCGCTCTGCTGCCTCTGCCTCCAAAGCCGCATCAGGCAGCATGAAGGAAAACCAGAAAAAAGGATCTGTCAGGGGGTTGCTGCTGACCACTCCTGAACACAACACCCAACCTTATACTCTAAACCCTAAACCCTAAACCCTCATAGCAAAACCCTAAACCCTAAACCCACATAGCTAAACCCTAAACCCTAAACCCTCATACCTAAACGCTAGTATCTCTCTTGCCTTAACCCTAAATCCCCATATATAAATGACCATTAAACACTTCTCCCTAAACCCTAAACCCTCATTTCTAAACCCTAAATCCTAATCTCTAAACCCTAAACCCTAGACACTCCTCCCTAAACCAACACAAAGACGACGAAGAAGCAAAGAAAAGCTACAAAAGACGATTGTGTAACAAACCATGAGAAGGAGCTTCTTCTGCAGGATGGGTTTGCTGCTGCGCGTCAGCTGCAGCAGTAGACTCCACGGCTTGCTGCTGCAGCAGCCCCAAAGCAGCAGCAGCACGGGGATTGCATGCAGAGCGCATCAGCAAAGATGCTGCTAATCTCTGTCGGTTCCAGACGTTCTCAATTTCATGCACTTCTTCTGCATCGAGGCTCCGCCCTAAGCCCCCAATATAACAACACAATAACAAAAACTAGCAATAAACAAAACATAACTGCTAAACATAAATGAATACCTCTAATTATTTATAAACAGATATATTATATATATATTATATATATACCTTGAGAAAGAAAGAAAAACCTTAACGGCACCGTACGTACACCCCAACAAACAATGCGGATGCAAACACACAAAGAAGACCTCAGGAACTAAACAAAGAAAAAATAAAATAGATAAATGAAATATATAACATCATCACCCATTAAATAAATAGATACAGCTTGCGATATGAAGAGTGAAATCCTTAAAGCAACATAAAGACAAACAAACAAACAAACAAATCCTAAGAAAAGAGATATATATAGTAAACCCTCACCCCCCTCTTAACAGAAGAACATGCATGCATATCATGGTGCTACAGATATAGATAAAGAACAAAGAAGAAATAAATTAAATGCCTCACCAACTTCGCCTGGTTGCTCAGCTGCGATATCTCTTTCTGCTGAATTGTCTTCAGGTCTATCAGCAGCGGCAGCAACAGTATGTTTATCTTCTTTCCCTTCGGTTGCTGCTGCTGCTGCTGCTGCAGCAGCAGCATCTGCTTGCTGAGCAGCAGCAAACTTAGCTTTAAATCGATCTCTAAACTTCTCCCAGCAGCCCTCAACAAGTGCAGCAGCACGGCAGAAAGGAGTATCAGGGTGGTTGTACAGCCGACAGTTAGCAACAATAAGAGCTATATCTTTGTCGAATTCAGAGAACTCTGCATTTATCAAGCAAAACAAAACAATTAAAATAAAAATAAAAGAAATACATCACAAACTAGACGAACATCTACCACTAAAAATATTGCAGCAGCACTCACGTACGATGCACGTACAAAGCAAAATGATACAATAAAACCCTATAAACCCTAAACCCTAAACCCTAAACCCTAAACAAAATGATACTTCTGTATTTCTTCACTCCGAACAGCAGCCACAAGCAGCTGCCTATACACCTGAACAGCCCCGTCGTATATGGGTGTGCATTATTTGTTTCTACAGCTAAATAAACAAATAAATACATATATATATATGTTTAGATAGGTAATTACTGCTATTTAAATTATTATATTTTGTTGTCTAACCTTGATATACTCCATTTTCGATTTTTTCTCGAATTGCCTCAAAGTGCATCGGCTCCCTTACAACAAGGTGGTAGTCCGGCACCAACTTTGAATCAACAGCAACAGCGAAAAACTGCTTTTTATCTTTTTTCTTTACTCTCATTAAAGCCTCCAGCAGCACTTGCCGAGCACGAGAGCTGCAGGGGGGCCCCCCTCCTAAACCCTCAGGGGCCCCTGGGGGCCCCCCTACACTACAATCAGAACTAACACCCCATGAGGCTGTAAGACCGCTTCGAGGAGCATCTGCAGAGCTTCTTGTAACAGGTGCTGTCCCTGGCAAGCCTGACGAAGCAAATAAAGCAGCAGCATTTCTACTAATATTAATAATATTATTTAAATTGTTTGCAGGTGGGTTGCATGCAGTATACTGAGATCGGCTTCATTAGAACGCAGTGAATATAATTAGGAGTTTTATATCTTTAGGAAATAAACAAAGAAAAGTATAAGGATCAGTCTGAAAAAGCTTACGTCGTCTCTGCTGCTGCAGCATCGCAGCACGTGCTGCTGCTGCTGCTCGCGTAGCTGGTGCGTCTCCAGCCCCCGAAGGTAATCGCCTTCCCCCCCCCGTAGGGGGCCCCCTCCTTGTTGATGTTCTGCTGCGTGCAGCAGCAGAGGGGGGCCCCCTATTTAGCACAAGCCAAGGACTATTAAGACCCGAAGGTGCGGGGGGGGGCCCCCCTTTACCCCCAAGGCCTGCAAGTAGGGTGCTTCCTTCAAGCGCCATTGATGCAGCAGAATGCCTGGGGCCCCCCACCGATCCTCCCCTTCCCCTAGGAGAAGACAGAGACAAAGATTGCGTGCAAACGAAGTATGTTTATGCGAGGTCTAGGGTTTAGGGTTTAGGGGGTGCTGGGGCGGCTGCTGTTGAGAGGGGAGCCTCAAACGAGCTCTCTCCCTCCCTATAACTAAGTAGAAGAGGTATAAAGAAGAAGAATTCAAGAAAATACACAATGGGGCCCTGTTGGCTTCATAGTCACTGCCCACGAAGCTGCTGCTGCAAGAGCAGCAGCAGCAACAGCAGCAGCAGCTGCTGCTGCAGCAGCTGGTGATGTTCTCCTTGCCACCGTTGCATGCAGATAGAGTGGGTAAAGATTTCTGACTTAGTTTCCTTACAAAGATAATACAAACAAGAAAAGCAGTTGCAGCTCTTGCTGCTGCTGCTGCTGCTGCTGATTAGCCCTGCTACTGCAGCAAGGGCTCGGAGATATAAAGAGGGTTTAAATAAACCCTAAACCATCATCGCCAATCACTAACATCTAAACAATATAATTAAACTTATCATAAGACCAAAACAAAGACAAACAAATACAGAGAAGGGGCCCCTTGCTGCAGCCTTGGGGGCCGCTGGCTTGCAGCAGCGCGCAGCCGTCGCTGGGGGGGCCCCCTGCTGTGTAGGAGAAAAAAACAAATAAGTTAGGGTTTTATTTTTTAGAAATTAAATAAACAATTGAATTATTAAAGAATAATTATGTGTATTCTTCTTTAAACAACCATTTTAATCTTAGAAGTGCTGCCGAGCTCCTTCGGTAGATAGCGAAGCGTGTTGTTTGCAATGGCGTTCAGATTCTTTGAGGTGTATATCCACCTATTATTTTGATCTTTATTCTTAATTCTTCGTTCTTATTGTGTTCATTTAAACCTTTTGCACTATTGTACAGATCTATATCTACCCTTTTCTTCAGCAGAAGCACCCAGGCGTCCTATGCTTGCACAGCAAGCTGATTGAGGGTAGAGGGCTTTATGTGTAGGAGGATAATATATAAGAAGCATTCATTAACATATTGACTTCTCTGCAACGAGTTAAAACACATCTGCAAACACGAAGCATCAAGACAGTTTCAGGGGCCCCCAGCAACGGAGGGGCCCCTCTACTAACCTTCTGCCGTTGTGTGCTGCGCGGGGTGCTGCAACCTGCATCAACAGCAGCAAAAGGAAGTGCAGCAGCTACAGCACCAGCAGCAGCAGAGTGGGTAGCAGCTGCAGCGGCTGCAGCAGCTGCGTTAGCAGCGGCAGCAGCGGCAGCAGCAACAGCAAGCGCAGCAGACGTACCCGCATCATCAGCAGCAGCCGCCGCAGGTGTATCGACACCCGAACAATCAAGCACAGCTGCAGCAGCATGAACAACAACAACAGAAAAACAAAAATGCATGACTTAGAGGCTCCATTAAATGCACAGACACCCCTTGTTCCTCCAGGGGGCGCCTGTGCTGCTTCGTTAATGAACGAGGGGCCCCTAGGGGGCCCCTCAATCTCCCTGTCATCATCCCCTCAGCACCCGCAGCAGCAACCGCAGCAGCAGCAGCAGCAGGAGCTGCGGCACCCGCAGCAGCAGCAGCAGGAGTATGAAGAGGAAGAGAGTGGATTGCAGTATCAACATGAAGCTGTAGATGTTGCTGCTCCTTCAGTTTATGCACAGACAGTTCCTCGAGCTCCTTACCCTCGTCCTTATGATTCATTATGGCGTTTATTATTTTTATTATTAATTGCAGCAGGCCCCTTCATAGGAATGTTATTGTTTTTAAGCCTTCTAAAGAATGTAGGCGCAGCTATGCTTTTCATGCATTGGGTATGTATGGTGGGGGCCCCTGCGGTGTATATACACTTTGCTAGTGATGGGTGGAGCTATTGTAAACACGTATATTTATGTCAAGGCCCTGGAGGAGGTCGCTGGGGTAAGCAAGGTATTTGGGCTTGCGCATGTTTATTATTAGGGGCTGTTGGAGTGTATGCAGGGTTTAAGTTTATATGGGTTATAGTTAAAGAAGCAGCAGGAGTAGATCTGCAGAAAGATATGCAACAGCGCCTACAAGATATGGGTATGGGGGGCCCCTTGTGGGTGTTGGTGTTGTTGTCGGTTTATTTTATTATTTTTAATCCTATTATTGAAGAAGTATTCTGGCGAGTGTTTTTATATAGAGAGATAGGCGCTGGGTTGTTTGGGTCTGCTGCTGCTGGCTTACTTTATATTAAAGAAGCTCAGCCTCTAACATATAAGATACATCAAGCGTGGAGAGTTGTTGCAAGGGGCCCCTCTATAGGTGGAGGAGGGGATGAGCCTCAGCATCAAGCAAATGCTGTTGCTGCTGCTCCTCAGCACCCCACAACAGCAGCAGCAACAGCAGAAGCAGTAGAAGCAGCAGCAGCAGCAGCAGCGGCTAAGGAAATAGGTGATGCAAACGAAGCAGCAACAACTGCTGCTGCTGCTCCTCTTACACAGAGCCACGAAGAATCTGTATCTGGATCCCCAGCAGCAGCAGCACCAGCACCAGAACCAGCAGCAGCAACAGGAGCAGCAGGAGCAGCAGGATCAGGAGCTAGGAGCAGCAGCACAAGGAGCATTGCTTACTACGACTTAAAGGTTCCTCTTACAGGTTTATTAGCTCTTGCTGCTGCATACAGCAGCTATCATATGGTTGTTATTCACAGCTTAATGGGGCCTGCGTATGTATTGCCTGCTTTCTTTGCTATTTCTCTCTTAGGGGCCGTTCTCCTTTATTTAAGAAACAAAGAACGCTTTGGTCTTCTAACTGCTACGGGGCTGCATGCAGGGGTCGATGTGGGTGTTGTTTTTGTCTTAGCTGAGCTCCTCGGCATCTTCTAACAACATATTTCATAGATCAGCTATTGACAACAGCTATGGGCAGCTACTTAGCTGGCTAGCTACCTAGCTAGCTGGCTGCCCAGCTAGCTGGCTGGCTGTGTCTAGCCGCTTACAACAGCTAAGGGCAGTTATCTAGCTAGCTAGCTAGCTAGCTAGCTAGCTCCTGACAGCTGCGAGCGGCTGGCTAGCCCCAAGGAGGAGTTGCTGCTGCAGGGGGTGGGGGTGGAGTTGGAGACTAAGACCCCCCACAGCTGCAGAAGCAGCAGCTAAACCAGCAGCTGCAGCAGCAGCAGCAGCAGCAGCAGCACCGTAGTGCTGCTGCCCCGGCACCTGCAGCAATAGCCGCAGGAACAGCAGCGGCGTGTGCTGGTGCACCGCGGGTTTGAGATACAAATATATATATATGTATATTTATATATATGTATATATATCTTATCTGTATCCATGTCTATATGTGCATATATATATGTATATATATATGTATATACATATATCTTATCTGTATCTATGTCTATATGCACATATATATATATATATAATATATCTGTATCTATGTCTATATGTACATATATATATGTATATATATATATATATATGTATATACATATATCTTATCTGTATCTATGTCTATATGCATATATATATATATATATATATATATGTATATATAATGTGCACATATATATGTATAAGTATATGTATATGTATATGCATATATATCTTATCTGTATCTATGTCTATATGTGCATATATATATATATATATATATATGTATATATATATGTATATACATATATCCTATCTGTATCTGTATGTCTATATGTACATACATGTATATATATATATATATATATATATATATATTTGGCGTGTTTCTTTAGTTGTTGACTGTATGGAGGGTGCATGCGGAGCTGTAAGCCCGCAGATTGTCTCTGAGTAATAATTAAACCTTTACTTTCTTCTGTCTATATGTCTGTCTTCCTTCTCGCCTCAGTTGCTTCAGGTGTACGTGGAGCAGATAATTAAATTAATTTTTTAGTTTTTAACCTACTACCATTTTTACTGTCCGCATTCTTCAATAAACTACTCGTAAAAACCATACATACTAATAAATATAAATATATATATATATATATTTATTTATTTATTATAATTTATTTATTGATATATAGAGAAGGATAGATGATGGAGTTGTTATTGAGAATTACCTCAGCCTGTAGCTGAGCTGTGCATACACCCGAAGGTAGCAAACAACTGCGGGGCTGCCAGTGCACACCATCTGTCTTGCTGTCAAGAAAGGATAACTAAGTAGCTAGCTAGCCACAGCTAGCTCCCAGCAGCTAGCTAACTGGCTCGCTGCTGCTAGCTCCGAGTGGCTGGCTAGCTAACTAGCGAAGCTACCAGCAGCTTGCTAGGTAGGTAGGTAGCTAGCTAGCTAGCTAGCCACTGACAACTCCTCGCCGCTAGCTAGCTGGCTAGCTAGCTAGCCACTGACAGCTCCAAGACGGTAGCTAGCCCTAAGAAGGAGTTGCTCAGGACGGGTCTTTCGCTTAGAGGGCTCCGCAATCCTCAATGACCACCGGCACCTGCAAAGTAGAAACAGAAGCGCGAAGATATTGCAACGTTGTTGTTTGCCCGCTGCTGAGGGCCCCTGACAGCTAGCTAGCTGGCTGGCTAGCTAGCTATCGAGTTAGCTACCTGATTATCGAGCTAGCAAGCTAGCTATCGAACCAGCTAGCTAACTATCGAGTTAACTAGCTAGCTATCGAGCCAGCTAGCTAACTATCGATCTAGCTATCTATTTATCTGTCTATCTATCTAGCTAGCTAGCTAGCTAGTTCAGGTGCAAGAGCTCTAAGACTCACCTCTGGGGCGTCGCTGGCATTGGTGGGGACCTCCTCAACATCATCAAGGAGCTCCAAACCCTCAACAACTTCACCGAATACGACGTGCTTCCTGCAGCACAAACAAAACCCCAAGTAGAACAACAAATTTGAACTCAAAATAAACATCATATCCGCTATATATAAATCAATAAGTATAAATCAATATATATATATATATATCGGTGTGATAGACTTGCAAGTGTTATATATATATATATATATACATACATATATATATATATATATGCATGTATGTATGCATACAGAACCAGCGAAGGAAAAAGCCTCCAAACAAATACCCTAAAACCCTAAACCCTAACCCCTAAACCCTAAACCCTAAAACCCTTAAACCCTTAAACCCTTAATAAGACTTTACCCGTCTAGATGAGGGGTGGGCCCGAAGGTAATAAAGAACTGAGAGCTGTTTGTGTTGGGCCCTGCATTAGCCATGGATAGCTGTCCTCTGTGTGTGTGTTTATCAACAAATGCTTCATCTGCGCAGACACCCCAACTCATTCACGCAAATATACATGCATTTAACGCTACTAGAAGAACTTTAAACGCATCTATAGACCCTCATATATATATTATATATATATGTATATGCATGTATACATATGCATACCTACATGTATATACATATATATATATATGTATATATGCATATACACATATATATGTTGTGCATATATAGGAATATGTATATGCATTTATATATATGTAAATGTATACATATATGTGCATATATATACATTTATATAAATGCATAAATGTATAAACATATATATATATATATATATATCCATATATGGGTGTAATACATATACATACACATATACATATACATATACATATACATATACATATACCTATATATATATATGTACATTTATATATATATATATATGTATATATAATAGGTGCTGCATGCATGCTTTATATTTAGTTGTTGAGTGGTGGGGTTGTAACACCATTGAAACGATCTCCATAGATGCTTTCCCCTCCCTTTTTGTTGATATCTCCTCCCTGCATCATGAAGCCCTTTATAATGCGATGGAAGTTGTTGTTCTTGAATGTCAGTGGATCTCCACTAGCTCCTTTCTTGTCTCCTAATCACGCAAACCTAAACCCTAAACCCTAAACCCTAAACCCTATATACCCTAAACCCTCAATGATAGCAACCGACTATACATCGCCACACTCAAAAACGATGAAGTTATGCGCTCTCTTGCAGCAGCAACAACACAATATATATATATATATACATATATATATATACATATATATATATATATATATATATATATATAT